ATCCAAAAGAAAAAGGGAAAACTTTTTTTTTTTTCAAAGTATCCCAACCCAAAAGCGAACACTTGTACTTATAGGGCCGTCATCAAAATTTTCATTTATTTAAAATATAACTCATTTTTAATATATTATTAAAAAAATTTTATTTTTTTTTTAAAATTTTTGATCAAATCATAACCGCGAACCTTTCCGAACTATTGCAATCCTTGCCCCGTCTCCTATAGGGCTAGTACAAGCAGATCGGTGCCTTAACCACAAGTAGATATTTTGTTCTGCAGCTTTAATAATTTGTCCAGACGGATGACACATTAAATTATAATTATCATTAGATTATTTCTGTACTATGATTAGATTAACTTAACTTTAAGTTGAAGCACTTCCCCCACTCATGTTCTACACTACACATCCCAAGGATATGCATGTGCTGTGTAATCTATGAAGAACATGTGTGCTTCCTGTAGTATATTCATAAAGAATTTATCTTTTTTGCCAGTACTCATATTGATGAATAATAAAAGCTATTCCTTTGGGAAAATGGTTTGTTTGGATTGCTTCATATTTCCCCAATTTTATTTGCTTACATCATCTTTACAATTTCCAATACACCTTTTTATCTTCCCAATATCTTTTCATCTCACATACATCACATCACAAAAAGTGCTACAGTAAAAATATCCCAAATAATCCCAAATAACTTACAATCCAAACAGACCCTTTGTCTTAGGGCCATGGCGACCATTTTAAGAATTGTTATGCATCGCGGCCCAACCTTGACCAAGGCAATATCCGTTTGTAGAGGCCCGTTGCAGCTACGTTACGCTGCATGAACTGGCCCGGCCTACACTTCCAGCTATAGAGATGACTCTAAATTAGTCGAGTCAATCACGAGTACTGTTTTGCTCGCACTTGAGCCCGTATAATTTATTGGGGCTCAAAGTGGGACACAATTGAATATTAAATTTGATGATTGGGCCCTTGTAATTATCCAAAGGCTGACCATTTTAGTAATTTTGCATAACTATATTATAATTGTTGATATACATGTGTACTATTGAGTTGCTCAGCAGCATTCAAGCTGAGTGATATCGCCATGCTTGAGCCCGGCTCATAGACGTTAAATGAGTAAGCTTGATTTCAACTCAAACTCGATTTGAACCGAACTCGAGCGCCCATCTAATTGGGCCACTAGGTTTGTTGATAGCCCCGCAGAATGACCCAAACTTCGGTGGTTCAACGAAGTTTACCAGAAGGACGGGTCAGTTTCTACTTTTCTACTTGCTTGGTCACGACGAACCTTCTTTTGGGCAAATCTTATTGCTCACCCTTGATCCCCCAAGAAATTTTAGCAGTATATAATCCTGAAAAATGTCATCATCCGGCAAACAAATTTCCAAAAGAAATCTGATCAACAGCAGAGCAGCCATTATTAGCTTCAAAACAACTTTCCAAAAAAGCCTCCGCCATTCTTTTTGCTATCTGATTCGAACTTGCAGAAGATTTGTGAACAGTTAATACTACAGCAAGATGAGTAAGGGTAAGAAAACGAGTTGGTACTCAGCAGTCTTTCCGCCATTCACCTGTTGCTTTAAAGCCAAGGCAAATGGTAAAGAATTCATAGCTTCAACCAGGATGCCTTCTGCTCCTGAGGCAGCCAATATAGCAGCTGCTAAGCATTTCTCTAGTGCCCATAAAACGAGTCTTGGGTGATAATATATATAGCTTTTGGTGACAATTGTTTGATCATCAAGAATCAGATGTCTATGGCTATGCCTATCGTTGCTTACAAGGAAGAAAACATGGAGGGGGCAACGTTTCCAACTCTTGTTCCCTGCCATGTGAGACGCATGGAGTATGTGATATTTTCTGAATCGACTTCCGGTTCCAGTTTGAAGTAGTGTCATGCTCTCCTCTCAATCTTTTCGGAGGAAAGGTTTTCTTCCTTTGGGAATAAATGATCAAGAATCAAGAATGTGATTTGAGAGGGTGAGGGCATTGGATATTAAATTATGTAATCCAGTACTAACTATAAAAATTTCGTTTGTTAAACTTGAATCATCGTGTGGGTTTATATTGATTTGTAGCATTTCGAACGAAGTATTGGCAATTTTTGTAATTTGGTTAATTAGTAGAAGAGTTGCTAACAAATTTTCGTCAAGTGCAAATGTCAATCTACAGAACCCTAATTTTAGCGCCTAACAAATTCCACTTTATAATTAAAAACAGACGAATACTTTAATGTTGGATTCCTCACCCTTTCAATTAGCAGATTTTGATAAAAATTGGGCAATCCAGACAATCTGAGCCCTGAACAGTATATTCAACAATTCATGCTTTTTAGTTCATAGGTTTTTTTTTTTCATTTTTGACTTCGTTCTTTGATTTGGTTTTGCCACGGCTGACCAAAAATCACTTTCCAAGAAACTGGTTTTAGAAGAGGGACAAATGTGATAAATAGAGGGACAAATGTGGTCAAAATGAGCTCAAAAGAAAAAAGGTGTCTTTTTCTGCTTGGTTACTGGACTGGCCGTATTTCATTTGGACCAAACTGGCTTCCAAGTTCCCACCTGATCTTAATCCCTATGAAATATAGTCAAGGTTGATGACCATACGTCTTAAAATAACTCATCCAACAAGCAAATTTCCAAGAAAATTCTTGTCAGCATACTTACTTCGACTGTTTCTTTTGCGCTTTTTCCTGTTCATCTGATTGAAAATTTATCCCGTCTGTGTTGGTAACCCCCCCCCCCCCCCAACCCCACCAAAAAAAAAAAATTAGCATGATAATTAAGGATTAGAAAATGATGTAATTGAGAAGAAGGGAATTTTTTCAAATTCTAATCTCATTCAATTTCCACTTCACATAAGAAACCAATATAGTCCTTCAGACCTCTTTCTTTTTCTTTTTTTTTTTTGGCAATTTATTTGGCATTCTTTTTGACCAATAATGGAACTTATTTTGCCTTTCTGTTCAACCATTGTATATGTGGAGACGTTTGAATGGGAAAACCAATTATGCTAAGCTTTTAAATAATTGGAGTCGTATAATATATGGTTTTCATTTGATGGTGTACAAATCTTTTTTTTTTATAAAAAATTTTTTAAAAAAATGAGAAATTTAAGGTTGGTTGTCGATTAAATTCACTTTCTAGGAAAGTAAGAAAATAATAATGTTGCCAAGCAAACGCGTGGTGAATGTCAATGGTCTAACTTGGTTCACAAGAGGAACTACTGAATTTCTACTAGGTTGATTTCTAAGATACTTCCCTTGGACTTGGAACTGCATTCAACTTGATGTTCAATCTTCACCCCCAAGAAATCTTAGCTATATAAAAGCTAGGCTGATTTATGTCTACTTAGCTCGTCCAAGAACCAAACATTCAAAGAACTAAATCTTTAGTACCACACAACAGATTCGATCTTTAGTCTTGAGAGAGGGTAATCTGTATTCATTTTCTTGTTTCCTTGATCAAACGAAAGTAGCCCAATTTGTCTTCACATTTAACAACATAGCAGCAACAAGAGCAGTGAGGATAATAGAATGAAGTGGTACTCTGCAGTCCTTGGGTCATTCAGCTCGTGCTTTATAGCCTCGGCTGAGCATGAAATCAAGAAGACTTCAACAGCTGCAGTGCCTTGTAACCCTGAGGCAGCTATGGTAGCAGCTGCAAAGCATTTCTCTAGCGCCCATAAAGTGCAGTTTGGCTAATTATTCTGTCACAACTTACCCCATTCTTGTTCTCTCTCCCTTCAACCCATCACATCATCACCTCTTCCAGTCTTCCTCCTCGATGTTCTTCAGCCACCAATAAACTCCTCTGCCACATGAAAAAATTGAACGCTAGAAAAGAAAAGTTGGCAGTCCAGATTAGTTTAATTCCATCAGGGGCTAATAGGGACTAGAGGATGAAGGGAATATGTGAAGAGAGAGATTGCAAGATTAATGACAAAGCCTCAAAGTGGAGGAAAAATGAAGGCAAAGACGGTGGATTTGTGGGTTGGGGGGGGGGGGGGCAGTGGTAGGGAGGAAAGGAATTGGGGAGTATCGGCAGGGCCACCAGCATAGGGGCTGAATTGGGTGTGCAAGGTTCGTAACGTGGTTTGTTATGTCGGTGCATTCCGGCCGGTTAGATATCAAATCAAAAGAGCAAATTATAGACCGTTGGACCGTTAAAGTAATTTGTGTTATTTATATTTTTTTATGTTTTTAATTTTAGGTATCTTTTGGGCCTTAAAATTATTTATTGAGATTTTGTACTCTCTTTTTATATTCTCTTTCTGTTTTAGGATTTTGTACTCTCTTTTGAGCTATTCTTTCACCCGTGCACTTAGGTCAATTCGATCAAATCACGTAAAAAAAAAAAATCATAATTCAGCCGGCTTGAATTGCTAATTTCCGGAGGTTTTTTTAATAAAATTGATGTTCATGATACGTCTTAATTAATACAGCTCATCCAGCAAGCACATTTCCAACAAAATCAACCTCAGCATATTATTTTTATTACTAGTCATTTCAAATGTTTCCTTCGTGCCTCTTTCTTGTTTTTCTGATTGGAAATTCATCAAGTTTGTGTTAATAGGAAAAAAAAAAAAAAAGTAACAATGATACAGTTTATTTGCCCATTCTTTTGAATCGATATATAAAAGGAGATAATCGAATTGGGACAACGCGGAAATGAAAACCAGAGAGTACAATCTATGGTTTTTATTTCTTGGAGCACAAACTTCTTCCTTTCCTTGTCACTCTTTTCTTTTCCCCCCCGATGTACAGAGCGAGAAATGAAGGTCGGCTGTCGTTAAAATCACTTTCTACGAAAGTAAGAAAACACACTCATATCAGATGCTTCAAAAAAAATCAAAGAAAACGTGTCCTGAAACGAGGTGAATGTCAATGGTCAAGTTAAGCTCAAAAGAGGAACCATTTTGTCACCTTCTACTAGCTTGGTTGCCAAGATAATTTCCTTTGGACTTGAAACTGCATCCCCAAGAAATCTTAGCTATATGTATGTATAAGGCTGATGAGTATGCCTACTTAGCTCATTCAAAAATCAAACATCAAAAGAATTATATCTCCGGTGCTACACAGCAGATTCAATATTCCTAGTCTCTCGAGAGTTTTATTTGTTCATTTTCTAGTTTATTTTTGATCAAAAGAGAGCAGCCCAATTTGTTAGAACATTTAACAACATAGCAACAAGAGGAGCAAGGATAATACAATAATGAAGTGGTACTCAGCAGTCTTTAGGTTATTCAGCTCGTGCTTTACAGCCTCAACTGAGCATGAAATCAAGAAGACTTCAACAGCTGCAGTGCCTTGTAACCCTGAGGCAGCTATGGTAGCAGCTGCAAAGCATTTCTCTAGCGCCGCCCATAAAGTGCACTTTGGTTAATTATTCTCGTCAAAACAGTTGCAAGAGCAAAATCTCATTTCATCGAGATTATGGATGGTTCAAGTGGTTAAGATTCTTGACTCCCAAAACCAGCAAAGGGAAATACGCTGTAATCAGATTATATAGGTCCCAGGTGTGCTCTCTTCGTTTCTTCTTATTCCATTGACCAGGGGCTGAGGGTCCGTAGTAATATTTTGGTTGTGAAATGGTACTCTGTATTCTGTATTAAGAAGAAGAAAGATTAGTACTCCATTTGATACAGAAATCATACTTGTAATAGTACTAGTATTGTCTACATGCATTTTTGGCGCAAATTGTACTCTGAATTGCTTACATTTACAAGTGTTTGCGACATTATCGTCCCACGAGCTGTGTTATTCCATTTCTGTTTAGATCAATCTATGATTCTGTAGTTTCTCAACCAAAAATCAGACATCGATTCATCAGACCCGGAAGTTCTTGCAATGATATTTTTGAACATGCGATCCAGCAAAAGATAACTTCGCAATTAATGACATTGTAGAATGTCAATCATTATCTGATGAATTGGTTGCAACAAAACATTCACGAGTATTAATTACTCCCATTAACAATTAAGAGAATTCTCAATCTTTCTCATAGATGATGACAGCGAAAATGTTAATACCGGACCTTCAGTGCCTGAAGCCAGCAGAGCATATCTCCAAAGCCCAGAAAGCCCGATTTGCTCAGGATTCGTTGGATGTCATTGCCGATCAATGCCTGTATCATTCCAAGTATAAAGTTCAGTTCTACTTCCCTGTTTTATTCAAGAACAGAAGTCAGATTCCACCAGAATTATTGAAACTTCGAAATTTTCCGCTCAAACTACCAGAATTAACAAAGCGTTGTGGCAGCCAGTGATTGCATCTAAGTCGATCATTTACAAAACATTAATACTGCCTCAGCTTCCTAACGAATGTGCTTATCTTAGATACCATACATCATTAAAAATCCCAGGCAAGCGTGCAATGTGACATATTCATGTATCGTGTCTTACTTCGTGCTGTTAATTATGCATCCCAGAATCAAGATAAATCTATACCATGCAAAAATATGTAGTACATGCTAACTGCAGTTTAGTTTCCGGGTATGCATTTGATAACGTATTTGGTATTTACCTTCTTAAAACTCCAACCATTGCTGAAAGCAAGCATAGGAGTTCCAGAGATGAGTCTTGAAGGCTTATTATGCCTTCAGTAGTGTGCTGCTATCTCTGTTCACTTGTGAGTTTCTCTTGCCTTCTCCAAAATGCCATTATTTCATTAAACTGCAGCAAGCATTAACATATGATTATAAAAGGAAAGACAGGACAGCATCTCATGAGAATAAACAATAGCAGAAGTCTATAAAATTGGGGAAAAAAAAACAATTGAACTAGACAGCAATACGTCTTTTATGAGCAGAGTGGGTGACGTATATTCTTTGACTTGTAAGCTGGAGTTTGGTTAAATTAACTGTCACACTCAATTCAGCTCCAGAGTCCAGACAACAAACTTGTGATTGGCCAAGTATTCAATAGTGGTCTACAAAGATTGTATTTTTGTTTTAATTTCAGAAATCTTGAAGGCTTTTACTGTTGCTGTACAACAAGTTACTTCAGCACTAAATTCAGTACAGTTTTAAGGGGAATATGATAATCAATTTAAGCCCTGAATGCCACTATGCATGACTGAATATTGGTACAACTCTTTCAAATATGAGAAGAATCTCAGCTCCCAAGAAAACTAACCGGTTTTCGTTCATGAATTTCTACAGATTGTGGATGCCAAGTTTGCCACAATTCGAAATGCCTGCTGCTCGTCTTTGGTGTTTCCGGTGTCTCATTTTTGCTTTCTCCTGATTGACCGGGATCAAAGGAAAACTGAGATGAATCCATCTCCAGGCTCACCTGCTGCTCACTTCCTTCTTGATGATGATCCATTCCTTGTGAGGCTTTTGTCTGACACTTGGATATGACCTTAAACAACAATAAGGCCCAGAAGAGGATACAAAATACTGGAAACAGTAGGACTAAAGAAAGAAAGAGGAAGATCAGAGCAGGAATTATCCAAGGCAGAAGCATGATTCCTAAAACAAGAACGATAAACAGCTTCAAAAATGACAGGAAGGTGAAAAATGACAGGAAGGTGAAGCCGTGCAGGAGATGCATTGGTTAGCCAAAACAGAAGCTAGGCAATAGACAAGAAAATGATTGTTGTAAAGATTCCATATGATTTTCTTGTTCCATTATAATCGTAAATGATGTGATATGAATGCAGCTGCTGCAGTGATGTTAGTGTGACAAGATGAGTTTGTGTACTATAATTTGACACGTTTAAGAAATGCATCATCCGAACTTCGGAGACTGTAAAAAAAAAAGCATTATTGGGAATGCAGATTAACGTGACGTGACGTCAAACTGTCAGCACAAGGCATTGAAGGAGGAGGGGCAGGGCCAAAAATTGGCCAGAAGAAATGTAAAGTCAAAATTTTATCTTGTATATTATTTTATGTATTATGTGTGAGATTCATAAAAATTTATTTTATAATTATATGTTTTTAAAAATTTGTTATATCATGTATATATAAATTTAAATTTTATATATTTTACACAAAATCGTTTTGAACAATTTTCTAACGAGTGTTTGAATCCTTGTTCCTAGGGATGGTAACGGGGCGAGGGACCCTTCCCCCATCCCCCACCCCGCTGCCTACAAACTCCCCCCGTCCCCGCCTCGTCCTCGTCCCGCCCCGCTTCCCTCGCGGGTGTTTTCGTGGGGCTATAAAAATTTATTATATAATTTTATTATGATTAAATTTTAGCAAATAATCAAGTACTAAAATATCAACACATCATCAAATTATTGTTCATTATAATTTTACAATTGAAACTTATAAAAACAATCAAATAAAAATTATTTGAATACAATCCAACATGATAAAATAAATATAACTAAAGTAGCCAAGTTTTCACTTTTGGTACAAATACAATCACTAATTCCTTCTTGTGCTTGTGCTTTTTTTAAGAAAAAAATGTTATTGTATTAAGTGTAATTAGGAATTTAATATAAATGTATTAGTAAATTTAATATAACCATTCCTACTTGTCATCCGTTGAATCACTAAAAAATTTTCCTAAAAAAAAAACCCCCTAAAAAACAGCACGACACCCAGTAAAACATCCCAATCACGTGATGTATACCTTGTCAACATGTTGCACGAGACTGACTTAAAAAAAGAAAAAGTCTAAATGGATGAGCTATGTTGTATGTCCCAAAAAGAGTTAATTTTATTTTGCACCCTTCAACTATTATTTATTTTTACTTTGATCCCTTGACTATCAATTAGAATACTAGCCCTTCAATTATATCACGATTCTTAATTTGATCATTAAACTCCTTTCTTCTCTCTACTTTTAGAAATTTTTTGGGTTATTGTTTAATCTTTTTTTGTACTCACTTGACTAGTATTCTGTCGGTTTTTAGAGATCCCATTAATAATTGTTCTTAAGTGGGATAGTTTTCATAGAATAGAGGCTAAAATATCCTAATTTATAATTTAGTGACTAAAATAAGAATTAGTATAATTGAGAGGTACAAAATGGAATTAACTCTCCAGAACATTGGAACAAAGTCGATAAGAAAGCAAGGATTGGTTTTGTAAAAGCCTTTTTTTTTTTTTATATTGGTTTTGTAGAAAAAGAAGCAACTGGCACACTTAATTACTCATTCAACATTTTAAACTTTTGACAATACTATCATTTAGATAGCAGAATCCCTAAAATAGTATGTTAGAAGACTATAGTTACCATAAGCCTTTATGAATTCATCACTTTGCGGGAATATGGGAGAAATGTAATTTTAGTCTCTAATATTTGATATTTGTGCAATTCTAGCTTCTAAAGTTTTGGTAAAAATAAATCTGATCCCTAATGTTTGGTTCCTTATGCGATTTTAGTCCTTAAAGTTTAAGCAAAAATAAATCTGGACCATAAAGTTACCAATTTGCAGTAGATTTAGAACAACAGATGGATTTTCCCAATTATTGACAAAATTGGTCATGTGTTCATTAAATTGGAATTTTTTTTTAAAAAAAAAGAAGAAAAAAAAAGTTAAGTATGATAGTAAAAATAACTCACGTAATGGCACATAAGTAACTAATTAATCGACAATTTAAAAAATAAAATATTTTGTTAAACTAGAGGCAAAAAATTTTTTGCTTGGGGTGGCGGAGATAGAGGGTGAAAATGAATTCTGAATCAATGAACTAGGAGCTCTAATTGGTTTCAATTTTGTAGTTTAACAAATTTGTTATTTTTATACATACTTAATTAGCATCTAAATTATTAGTCATTAACCCTGTTGTTTAAAGTTAATCACTTTTTTGCTTTTTTATTTATAGATTTAATTCAACAGATACATGACTGCACGTGACCTGATTTTGTTAGTAATTGAGAAAAATTTTCAAATATCCTAAATCTGTTTTCAATTGGATACATTGTGGATCAGATTTGTTCTTACTAAAATTTTACGGACTAAAATTGTACATATACTAAATATTGGTAATCTAATTTGATTTTGCTAGACTAAAACTACGGCTTCGTATGGATTCCCTCTTATGCTCAAAAACTATTTTTGTTTGTGGAGTCTATAGTAAGAAAAACTCCAAAAAACAACTTAAAAAACATGCAAATTCAAACACCTGGAAACAAAAAAAAAAAAAAAAAAAGTAAAATAACTCCCATTTTCTTCTTCCAAACATTACCACCACCCATCACTTTCCGCGACCGCTATTGCCAACACTTCCCCCTGCTGTACTGTTGTCACCATTTCTCCTTCTCCTCATCTCTCTCCCTCTTTCGTCCCATCTCTTCCTTCCTTTTCTCCTCCTCACTTTTTGCCTCCCCGAACTCTTGCTTTTTCCCTCATTTCAATCCGGTCTTCGGGTCGCGATTAGATTTGGTCGCAATCTATGACTAGATAACGAGCTGCGTCCAAATGCCATGGGGAAAGAAGAGGGATGCTGGGAGAAGGGAAAGGACATGAGAGGAGGAGTGGGGAAGATAGGGAAGGAAGAGGAAGATGGAGGAGGAGGAGAGACGGAAGAGAAAGGAGGATAAGGGAAAATGGTGATAGCAATGAAGAAAAGAGGGATGGTTGTGTTGGTGGAGAGTGATGGGTAGGGTAGTAGGTAGTTGTGGTAGGATAATTTTTAAACAAATTTGTAAAAATTCAATAAATTTTTAAATTTTATAACATTCCCAAATATATCTACAATGTAGGTTGCATTTGACAAATGAATTTTTAGGGTGTTTGTCTAAAACTGTAACTTACCGTAGAAATTGTAGAAATTTTTTTTGAAATGTGTAAATTTTGAATGTTTTGAAGTGTATAGTTTAAAATTTTAAAAATGTTTTTCGAAGTTACTGTAGTTACAGTTGTTAAAAAACTTGTAGCAGACAAACTTGATCAAAAACTTGCTTGCCAAATAGGCTCATAAGATTTTGACATACATTGCTATTATAAAATTTTTTGATAAACACTCCAAAAACATTTAATCCATAGGAAGCGTGCAGTTTCCCTTGAAAATGTTGCATTATTTGCTCCATCCTTCAATTAGGCTTCAATAATTGATTTTAAATGAAGAAATATAGGATGCCCAAAAAAAAAAAAAAAAAAAAAAATTCACGGGGTCTAAGTGGGGCTAGCCCTCATCTCATCCTAACCTGTTCCATGTATCTAATTTAAACAACCTAACTCACCTTAAGTTTTTGGCTAAATGAATCACGTGACTCACGGGTGCTTCTCCATTTTTTATCTTTTATTGTAAATCGGAGCAGTTAATTGCATTTCTATTTATAGATTTTCTTTGTATTTACTACCAGTTCTTGCTTCTTGGTGTTTATATGCTAATTAACAAAAAAACAAAATACACGTAAGAAAGTAAATACAAGACAGCGACTCTTCTTATTTTCACTGCTGGTAAAGATATGTTATGTATATGCAAAGAAAAAAGAAAAAACCCTTTATAAAAATAAATGGGAAGAAAGGTGAAATTAAAAAACCAGCCCGTTTCTGTACTCTGGTCATCACACCAAAGCAAAAGCCGGTGCATTAGTAGTGTTGCGGCCACACACGCTCACCGGAGCAGTGGACACCCCAGTTCAACCAAATTTCTGGAACCCACTTGCCAAAATTAATCAAATTTCTCTCCCATAGCTCCAAAGTCTAAACTTTACCATAAAGAAGTAATTTTTTGCTCCTCTCTCTGGTTATAGTTTTGGGTGTTATTCGTTATTTTTGGTTTGGTTCAGCCGATATTCTTGTCTAGATCTCTTTTTATCATTTCTATTCTAGCATTTGATTGCATAGATTTTGTGGGTTTGCGTAATTTATGGGTTTTATGCACAGAATCAGCTTATTAGAATTGAATCTTGGGGAAAAAATAGCATGAAATCTGGAAAGGGTCATCAGGAAGAGGAAGAAGAGGAGGAGGAAGATTTTGGTGCCAAAAAAGACTCCACACCATCCCAAAATAATCCCAAAGGTGAATTTTTATTTTATTTTTATTTTTTCCTTCTTTTCCAATACATATATAGATAAGTAATTTTTGACGGTGGCCCTTTAATTGTTCTAGTCTAGTTTCAGGATCACTTATACTTCATTTTAGTGCAGTTTTTGATAGATTGGCCCCTTTTATAACTGGATTATTGGGATTTGTTGAGAAAAGAAGTGACAATTGGCTCGTTTTTGGAGTTTCAGAATTATGACTTTTTTTTGGATGAATTGGTAGGAGCAGATGGGAAGAGCAGTGATAAGGCAAATGCAATGAGGTCGAAGCATTCAGTAACAGAGCAGCGAAGAAGAAGCAAGATTAACGAGAGGTATGCTATATTTGGTGGCTTTTATTGTTGTTAATCATGTATCTGTTTATTGTTTAGTAGTTAATTGGACGAGTTTTAATTGAGTGAAATGTAGTTGTAATGATCAGTTTCATGAAATCTTTGACTCCTCGTTGGTGTAGTTTCGAATTAGTTATGATACTTTTCTGAAGACTATACCTTTAAAGGCCAATGTTTGATGTGGCTACAGAGTGATAAAGTGACCAAGCTGCTTGATTTATCGTAGTCAATCTTCATTTACATAATTCTTTCTTTGTCAAGAGAAGATGTAAGAATTTGAGTTTTAGTAAGATGCCTTTCTTTTGCTTTACCGTAATTCATGGTGGTCATGAGACTTATTGAGGACTTTTTGGATAGGTAGGAAGGTTAGAGAACATTCAACTTCCAATAGAGATGAAGTCTCTCTCATTATGCGTTTTAAGCCTTTTTGTTGCTTGAAGATGGGGGTGTTTTTGTGACAACTTGGTCAGGATGGGAAAAAAAAAAAAACTGGGCTCCAATCAATAAAAAATGGATACTGTGTAGCATGTCTTACTGTTCCCATATTGAATGACTAACTTGAGGTCTTTCCTTCTTTCTCTCAAGTCCCTGTAAAGGACAAAAGTGTCCTTTCTTGGTCCTGCAGTTTCAGATAATCTGTTTTTGTAGTTATTGGAGTCCACCTGTAGCACAATAGCAGAACGCTTTTCTGTCTTTTCTTCTCAAATTCCTTGTATAAATAAAGATACACTTCACTGAAGTTGCAGAGCTATTGAAATGCCAATCCCCATGAATAAGTCAGCTGCATTGGTGTTGGGCTAGATATGGCCCACATATCTAGCCAAACACAGCATGTGGGGCCATGTCTTTTCTTGGTCCTGTGGTTTCAGGATAATCTGTTTTTGTAGTTATTGCAGTCTACCTGTAGCACAGTACCAGAATTCTTTTCTGTCTTTTCTTCTCAAAATTCCTTGTATAAGTAAAGATGCATTTCACTGAAGTTGCAAAGCTATTGAAATGCCAATCCTCATGAATAAGTCAGCTGCATTGGTGTTCTAAGCAGTGCTAGATATGGCCCACATATCTAGCCAAACACAGAATGCGGGGCCATGTCTTGACAATTGTGGACTCTTTGTGTATGTGTCAAACACAGAATGTTGTAAATCAAAGAAGAACTCTACTTTGTCTACAGTTCTGCTTGGCCTCTTTTCCTACTTGCGAGTTTTCTAGCTTTTGGAGTGGATGTTTGGGATTCGTGTGGGATTATCCTGTTGAATCCTTAACCTGGGAAGTGGAACTATGTCATATAAATCTTCTCATTAACAAATTGATAAGGAGATTGTGGAATGTAAAACTTTGGATTAATGCATTTCCTTTTTGGTGAAAAATCAGCCTCTGCTGGGCATTGCCTTCACTGTTATATTAGTTCAAGTAGTACCTAGTAGCAGGGGTTGACAAGCAGGAAGAGGAACTGACAGAGATGCAAGTAAAAAATAGAGTGTTAACAGGATTCATCCAATATTAGTTTAAAGCTCCAATAGCATTCAATGGTTTATCTACTTTGATTGGTCACAGCTGTTCTAGGTGTGAAATGAGACAAGTTATTCTGAAGGCATCAGAATTGTGGAGTTTTTGGCTTTGTGTATGTCTCGACATTTTTATCTGTACTTGCGGCATTTGGTTTCCTGGCCATTATAGTTCTTGTAATATGCGTAGCTCTTGTTTTCTTCTAATGTTTGGTTTTCACCAGGAGAAAAAGACCTGGTCTTTCCTGTGTTAATGGTGGGTGCAATAATTGTGAGCATGTGAGTAGCTTATATTTACTGCTTTGATCTGATTTTGCTATTGTTGCTCAAGTTACCATCAAGAAATTATTGGTTGGCTGTCTTTAGAAGGGCAATTTCCTCCTTTTTCTTCTGAAACCCTGTGGCATGTGGTTCCATTAACCACCTAGCAGTTAAAGTTGAGGCTACACGAGGTGCCTAAATATCAAATATAACTGTTTGCCAAGTGACATTTGTCTGACCAATACTGCTGTTGTCTTGATATGATGCCAAATACTCCCTTCCCTAATAAGTCACACTTTTTTAAGTTTCACATTCTTCGTGCTTGACTTGTCTAGGGAAATGTGAAGTTTGGGAAATTATTTGGCTTATGTATGACATTCACGTGGGTCTATAAGACTTCAGAGCTTCTGGAGACTTCTTTTGGAATAAAGTGAATTATGATAGGAAATTGAGAGGAATAAACTTTTAATGTTCAGGCAATCCATATTGGAAATTTAGTCTTTCTTCCAGTAATTAAATTTTATTTTCTTTCCCAGATTTCAGATTTTGAGAGAGCTGATACCCCATAGTGATCAAAAGCGAGATACTGCATCTTTCCTATTGGAGGTATATCAGTTGATCAAAATAAGTTGTTGCAATTGCCTCCTTGTCTCTTCAATGGTCGATTTACTGTAGGTTGGCTGATTGTCTATGTCTGTGTACAGGTGATCGAGTATGTACAATATCTACAGGAAAAGGTTCAAAAGTGTGAAGGATCATATCAGGCTTGGAACTCAGAGCCCACAAAGCTGATGCCCTGGGTAAAACATTGATATCTACCATATAAATGAATTTTATCATTTTACCCATGCAAGCCATCTTTGTTGGCTCTATAAACATGTATTTCACTTGGCTAGATCATGCAAGATGTGTACTAATTGGGTTTCCTTTATGGTAATTATTTTGTTTCTCTTTCCCACTTGCCTACACACAACTATAGTAAGATGTTTTGTGGCCATTCTGCTGTTAAACTTTAACTGATATAGTTTGGCTGTTACTGTCAATTTCACTAATGTTCCATGGCTTATTTGGTTGGAATACTAATCTAGGTTTTCCTTCAACGTTCTTTCCCTTTTCTCTTGCTATTCTTACATGCCTAGTGCCTTCCTTCCTCGACAGTAACAACATATTCTCTGACAAAGAAGAAACTTAGCAAGATTTTTGGATATCCATATACGAAAATTCATTTTACTATCAAAATCTTCTCAAGAAAACTGCATTTTGGTTTCCATTTCTGTTTTGATGCATATCTTCAAACTGACCAAGTTTTTATGGCATTTACTTGGAGTAGAGGAACAGTCATTGGCGGACTCAGAGTTTTGTCAGTCATCCACAAACAATGAAAAACGGCTCTGGTTCTGGTCCACTGTATCCTGGAAGGTTAGAGGACAATAATATCACTGTATCTTCAACTGTGCAACCAAGTCAACAAAATCCAATTGAATCTGACCTTGGGAGGGAGGTTACCTCTAAAACCATGGATCAGCAAACTGAACTGACCAACCAGGCGATGCCCATGCCGATGCCTTTGCAGGCAGCCATGCCAGTTCCGATCCAGAATGATGGTGCCTTCTCCCACTCCCAACCTAGGCCAGCTCCTGATGCGCAGTCTTCTGACTGTCCAATCACTGATGATATGCTAAACCATCCGGAGGGCTTAACTATTGAAGGGGGCACAATTAGCATCTCAAGCATATATTCACAAGGGTGAGTGGTTTTACAGCTTGTATATTTGTTTTAATGCTATGGATTGGCACATGGTGTTTCATGTTAATTAACTTCTGTGGCTGTTATTACTGTCTCTGATGCTTAAAATTATGTTCTTGCCACAGAATTCTCAGTAGTTACTGTTAATCCCGACTCTCTTGTATGCTCTGGGGCAGGCATTAATAAATGAGTATGTTTCATTGTTTGTTGGTGCATCATGGAACTTGTAGCTAGAACCATTGACAGATGGCATGCATTCATTAAGGTTTTACTTGCCATCTCCTAAATTTGCTTTAAAATGTGGTCACAATGCAATATATAATTTTGTATCCATTTCCTTCTTTGGGATGGGGGGAATTATTGGAGGCGTGAGAGAAAGAGAAGGAGAGAGAGATTGTCTCCAATTATGTATTATCAGTCAAGCGCTTGGGGACTTTTTAGTGGTCTGGCCTGATTGCTAAGATGAGGACAGCTTGTGGTGGTGGTTTCACTATTAGAGATTTTGATATATTAAGAAGGATTTATTGTGTTTATGGCTCTGCTTTCGGGTGCATAATATTTGTGCTGACTGATTTGGTTTTTCAAGGTTGTCTCTATGTAGTTGCTTATGTCTGGGCATTTGGAGTTTAAAATCAGCTGTTTTGTGCTTTATTCAATTCTTTCTTCTTTTTCTACCTCTCTACAAGGTTTCTATGTATTCTTTGTGCAGTGATCGCATGTTCAGCAGGAGGTAGTCCATTGTAGCTTAATGTTCTTCTGTCAATAGATTTAGGAAATCTTTCAGTAGGTTATGATGATTTTAGCTGACCTTGCTTTGCAATTGTTTCTAATCAGGTTGCTTAACACATTGACGCAAGCATTGCAGACTGCTGGAGTGGATCTCTCTCAGGCCACTGTCTCGGTGCAGATTAATCTAGGAAAGCAAGCAAATAGAGGACTGGCTTCTGGGATTTCCGTCACTAAAGTAATGACATTTTAATGATTCTCAGTATTTTTTTTTGGGGGGGGGGAGGTGTGTGTGTGGAAGAGTACTCGGCTTCTTGGATTGCAGTTGGTGACTTCTCTATTCTATGCTAATTTCATTCCCTTATCATGCTTCAGGATCATGAGCGGCGTTCACCTTCTGGTGATCAATTAGCGGGGCAATATCGGGACACAAGCAACGGTGAAGATTTCAGTCAAGCCCAAAAGAGGCTGAAAAGGTGACCGTCCATGCTTTCCGAATCAATGTGTGCTTGGCTCAGTTTTGTCTCGTCCGATGGAGAAAAGGCTAGTTGAATGTAAATGCTGGAATTCTCATATTAATCTTTGGGCTTTAGGCTATTCTGCTTGCTTGTCTATATGCTGCGCCTTCTCGACTTTCTGCCTGGAGTGGTTCATATATGTTCCTTTGTTGGAAACTGGAATTAGGTTCATCGATTGGCAACGATTCAGCTTTCAAAAACAGATGGTTTATCTCTGTACAAAATTTCTGGTGATCATTAGAGGCTTGGTGCTGCCACGCCAATTTTCTTTTCTTTTCTTTTTTTTTTTGCCCCATCTGAAATGCAATGGACCTTGTTCAAAAACACTCTTCATTGTTTGCCCGAGCTCCCCGTCCACCTTGCTCGCGGACTGAGGAATCCACCCTCCAGGAAACGACCGCATGGAGCCATTGGTGTGCAAGGACACTGAGTATCCATTTGTTTGTAGTGCAAAAATAATCATCGAGGAATATGTCATTCTATGCCTTAAACCTTTTTAATTTCGTTAAACTAATGGGATTGAGAGAAGGTAGAGAAATATGTTTTCATGGGGAATGAGAAGCTTATTGGACGTGATATAGTTCAAAAGCTTCTGCGCAGCCTCAAACATTCAGCCTCAAAAGCTTTTGTACAATTTAGACGAACGCTGTAACTTCGAATTGGTCCACGGTTATCATTGTCTGAGTACAACTTACACAGAAAATCCATCTGACTAAATGGTAAGCCGCCTGGATAAATGTCATTTTTGACGGAGCACTAGTGCTCCATGCTGCAAGGTGTTAAAAGAGAGGTACATTCAATATCAACAATTGCTGATATACCTACGCTAGCTGTTCTTAAGTTGAGGAGGTTGCTCTTAAGATGTTAGAAATCTCCATATAAGAACAGTACACATACGGTAACCAACAATTCATGGAACTCAGGCAAAACTGAATATCCAACTACCCATATTGTTGCAGGGAGGGAGTTAATAGTCGCCTGACCATATTGTTGCAGATAGCGAGTAGCTTACCTGGTCTCAAATGTGCTCTCTCTATTGCGAGTTTGAAGTCCTACACTAAAAACCTTTTGATTGCCTCTTACATGAATAACGACCATGATCGATGCATGTTCCAACAATTTTCTACCTCTAAGAGGCAGATTTTTGGCATTTTCATCACCCACAAGTACTCAGGACTTTCAATAGAAAAGCATATTCATAAGCCGTTTCCTCACAATGACTAATACGGCCACCTTCATCAAAATGTCCTCCACTCATGCTACTCCTCAGAATGACTGAAGAAGAACAAGTTGAACATGCAACCTCCCGTACCCTGGCCACCCATTTGGCTGCTTCCCAAACACCAACCCTTGAGTGCACAAACATCTTCAGGATCATTGTTTTAGAAGGATGCATGCAAAGACATTAATCGCATACAAATGAAGATGATTCAAGATCATTTTTAGGCAAAATGGCTCATTGTGTGCTAAGGATTTAAGCATGACATTCAGGCTCAAATAAATAGGCAGGCAAAAATTGAGACATGAATTTAAAGTTAGAAGACAAGCACAGAGTCTTGTAGAGAAGAATTACGCAAAAGGAAATTTCAGATGCAAGCTTACCTTGAGTCGTTAAATGAGGATTTAAGCAGCACTGCAGGATAACAAAATCCTTGACGGATATTATCATAAGGAGAAACTTTCAGGATGTTGTGAAAATGGGACTCTATCTGCGGATTCCCAAACTCCTCATAGTCCAGTACAGTGAGCGGCAAATCAGTGTCTAACAATGTGTTGCATACGTCAAGAAAGGGCACCTGATACATGTATTATACACATCATTTTCCCCAACAAGCTGATTGCTGAAACATTAATAGAACAAACAATAAAATCTAAGAGTCTATGACCCTGCTAAAAGAATTAACAAGAATATTGACCTTTGTATTCATACTAAAAAACAAAAGGGGTTTTTTATTTGATTTCCCAAATTATGGAAGTCAATTTTGGAGATGTCGACTTCAAAACTCACTGTAATCTTTCTTCTTTCTTTCTCTATGCCAAACTCTCTCAGTGCTCCTTATTCGGGTCTTCCCAACACCTTCCCATCTTTTTATTCTCTCCTTATTTCTCAACAAAAACCCATAAAGAGAAACCTATCTAAAGCAAAGCCGTGTTTAGTCGTTTCAAACTTCATACACAAGTTGCAAGGAATCAAAAAGCAACATTCAAAAAATTGAAGACAAACCCAAACAAATCAAGGATAACACCATCTGAATCAAAGCTGTGTTCCACTGTTTTAAACTTTGTAGCGAGTTGCAATGAAAAATTATGCACAAGAGCAGCATAAGGAAAAATTTTAAAAGTATCAACCTGGTTGCAAGGAATCCTCTTTGTCTTTTCTTTCTTCTTAGGAAGCCGTAAAGGGAATGGGTATTTGATAATTTAAGAATGGTAGTCGATTTCTTAGAAGTAGACTTCTTAAAAATCAACTTTTAAGTTTTTGGAAGCTTAATAAAAGCAACAACTATTGTTTAATTAGAAAAACAATGGACAATATTGGCATAAATAACTCAAAAATTGGGTTTATTCCCAAAGACAATCTAGATAATACAAATGGTGGTATTACAGGAAGTGTTCACTAGACATTTGAACCAGTAGTGTCATGGCAGGGAAAAAATCAACTTGCAACATTTCTTAAAAGCATGCATGAAACTATAGCTTTCTGGCCTTTCTTTTTTCTTTTCATACTTCTTTCTTCATCTAACCATGATTTTTCCTTTAATTGAGTAGCATCTTGTTGCAGAATCAACTACTGAATCTTTATCTTCAATGTAATTTTTTATCTTTTAATCATTAGCATATCAGTTTAATTGAGTTCCCTTATCCATTTGTCTTTTATGATGATTTTACAAAGCCACACCCACTTTGATCTCCCAGCAAACATTTGCATGAAAGAATTAGAATAAAGCAAAAGAAATCCAATCATTACTGTACCAGGTAAGATCACAAACAAAGGCATACTAAGTGTCTACCTTCAATATGGCAGCTCGAAATAGATTTGGATGCATATTCATGGCTGCACCCACAAGAAAACTTCCAGCACTGTGGGCAACAACACTAAGTTGCTGTTTGTGAATATAGCCCTCATTAATTAGGTATTTGCCACATGAAACAAAATCGCATATCGAGTTTAACTTATGCAATCCACTGCCAGAGCTATGCCATGAAGAATCAGCACCAGCACCACCCCTGCCCTCAAAACACATGACAGTCAAGCGATATATAAGGATACTATCATTAATTTAATATTTCTTCAGAACTGACCAAAATTAGATAAGTTGCTGACATAAGAGAAATCACAGAACCACCATGGTGAATGAAGAGTTAACAGTTAAGGGATCTAGAGTCTTTGTTTTCTAGAACTGTTATATTTCTTGCTCTAGAGAGTTGCTTATGAGGTTACAGTCCGCTAGCATCCAATGCTCTCCCAAGGTTAATATAACTACCACATGCTTTGGTCAGCACATAAATAGCTAAATGTTCGTTAGAATGTTCACTTGGAAAACTGAGAGCAAGCACGTTGACACACTTACAATCTGTTCTTCGGGTTACATGGAAACTACAACCTATATATCCACCCTTAAAATCTTAAAGCCAGGAAAAGAACGTAGCTTTTGTTACAAATGAACAAGCATCGCCATAATATGACAACTTAAATCCTGGTAAACAAGAATCATGAAGGTCACTCTTGTTAAAGGAACTGAAACTTTTATGCAGAAGTCTTCCTTGTATCACCCCAAATATTAGAAAACAAATATCTCATTTCTTTTCTATTTACCTTACATCAGCAAATGCAATCACCCAACCACGATCGAGCAAGCTCAACCGATCTGCACACCAGCTTTTATCAAGAAGTTCCCCATACGCTCCATAGCCATGTAAAAGCCCTGGAGATTGACCTTTTCTATGAAGCTCTTTAGAATACAAGATAGTCAAGGGAACCCTGATGCCGTCATGTGAAATAACTTCTTTTTTCTCACAAAAGTACAGGTCAGAAAGGTCTTTCAATCCCGATGCTTCACTTTTATGACCATTTGTTTTCTTCTCACACAGAAGGTCCTCAATATCCTTTGCACTCTTATAGTTTTGCAAGTGGTTAGCGCTGGAACAAATATTAGACACCTCTTCTTGCTGCACAACAACGTGCGAATTTCTCGACATGTCATAGTCGACAATAACATCAGGTATCTGGAATTCAAAAAGAAAGATGAGATGCATGTGCTTAGTGCCTTCTACTTGAGTTTGTTACATCAGCAGAATTTCTAATTTCCACCCACCGATATTCTGTCTAAGGGTCTTTAAGTTCAGTTGTCAAAAGATAAACTAGTGGTACAGAGAAAAGCATAAAATAGGAGGAGAAAGAAAATATTCATTTAATATTGTTTATTTTGACTAAAGTTTCCACCATAGCAGTTTAATTAAACTTCTCCCTCAACCCCCAGAACACCCCCTTCCCCTCAAGCCAAAAGAAAACAAAAGGAAAATAATAGGGAAAGGCTTCCAAAAATGTAAATGAAGACAAAAGGATGTATGGAGCTTTCTCAATCAGGTGTTAACCAAATTATTTGATCTCAAACAGAGACCCAGAATAAAGAACAACAAAGACGATGGAGAGAAACACAAGGCACTTGTACACATCTAGTAAAAACTAAACTATTGAATGAGCAATAACACAAGCCTTCAAACAGCAAATCATAGAAGTTGAAACATTGCATATTTATGGATTTGGACATCATGCCTGTTATTCAACTTAAGCACCATAAAGTGAGACTTCTAGCACCCGTTTATTTAATTTAAGCGTAATTTAAAGTCTGAAAACAATACTCAGACAGTGGGAAACTGGGTAAAATAAACAGCCTGACCTGGGCAATTCATTGTCTCTTCTTGATATTTTATGACTACATGGATAAATGCTTTTGGCTGTCTATCTGAACCAAGAAAAGAATATTCTACTAGACAAAAGATCTATATGCCACTATAGAGTAACATGAATATACATATCAATGAAAAGAGATAAGGAAGTGGGGAATGAACAAGAAACTTAAAGCTATCGGTTACAGTTATAGATGTCATCGGTAAGGGAGTGTTCGACATCATACCACAGGAGAAGAAAGCACAACACGATAGACTGAACTCATGAAATCATGATTTGAGCCAGGCGATATTGTACACATATTTGAAGGCAGAGGGAAAAACCATGCATGAAGATCATCAATCTTCAATTCTGTCTGCAGTCAAAAAGGAAATCATCTTTAGATGTATATATCAACACTACTTAGTTACTTCTTGATAATCAAGTATTAGTGAACCAAGAATCCAAGTGAACCATGAATGAGGAAGATACAAGAAAAAACATAAATGAGTAAATTTTTGAAAATATTTTCTCACTACAAAGTCAGATCATCTCGAAATCCATACCAGGGACCAAGAAATGAATCCCTGCTTCAGTAAATTAGGAAAACTTTAATCAGATGCATCCAGCTTTCGCAGTCTGAGGGTCATTACAAACAAAAGTACAAACCGCAAAGTGAAATGACAATTTACAAGAAACTGAAATCTTAAACCCCCTCTTATGAGAGATTGGTATTGTTTGCATTGTGTCCCACTAGAATTCAGTTAAGATCTTTACTTGGTAACCAACATCTAGAAGATGCACGAGAGCCATGTCTATTAAGTTCTACTGTATGTATATATTAGCCATCCTTTTATAGCAAGAGAAAAGATCTCACAGGCATGACACTGAAGCACTCGAAAAGAACAATATAGAAGAATCAAATCTCCTTTAGTGCAAATGCAATACGGGAATAGGAAGAACACCAACAAAACCAAATAAATGTCTCAGAAACAAGTAAAACAAAGCATACAAGATATCATCTGATTAGGCATTTAGTCTAATTGCATTTCACGGAATCTTGGTTTTTAAAGTACCAAGTTAGGAATGGACATGTATTTTGTCTTAATTAACCAAATGGAAATCAGGTGGATATATTCCACTTAAGGACATAAGGTAATTAGTACATTCGTTTTGCTAAGTTAAAATGTGTAGAAAAATTACATACATCCAGGCCTCCATTTATAGGCACAAGAAATAGGGAAGAGACTCTACCTTACAGTCAGACATAATGGGCATCTTGATTGAACACATGGACAAAGATCCCTCTTTGTTGAGGAACAGTACCAGATGTTCATTGAAGATGTCCATATCTAGAAAGCAAGTATCTTCATCTGGAAGAATGATAGGCTGATAAGGAAGAACAAATAAATTCAGCAAATCAAAACACGTAACTACAGTATCTGCACTTAAAATTTTCACGTGAAAGCTACAGTTTGTGACACAAGAAGAGAAAGCAGGGTTAAGTGCAACACACTGATATGCTAAAGTTCTGGTACTTTCAGGTGCAAGTACTGCCCTAAAAAATTAACCAAATCCACCTATATAAACGAATCTAGCTTGTCTAAATGACTAGCAAAACAAATCCTGGAATTGAAAGAAAGATACGCTATCCACTGAGGATTACCTGCAAATTTGTTGAGTGCAAATTGTCAGCTCTGCACCTACCCAAGTAATAATTTCCAGAGTTAGATAACTCATCCGTCCTTAATGGAGCATTAGTTAGAATATAGAAGAAGCCATCATGATGTTCCAGAAAGTACTGCACACCAGAGATGCGCTCACAAAATCTTAGAATCCCAGATTTTGGATCAAATGCATCTATAACATAAACCTGCAACCACCAAGGTGCAAAATATATGAGCAAAAGCTTGTCCAAATGCAATTGAAAGGAATGAAGCAAAAATGATGCAAACAAGTTCCTTCCTCAGATGAAGCCCTTGAGTTAGAATTCACAGTAATAAACTTGCCGTCCTTTGTGCTTGTTATATCCACACAGTATCTGGAATCACTTTCCACAAATATTGGGATATTATTGTCCACAGAATCTGATCCCAGTTTCATGCATTGTACACTAATAACAAAACATATAGGTAAGACTACATAATGATATCAAGCTCAAGGCTAAAGAAACATGAATAGGAATTTGCCTGTATGGCCTGTGGTTCTGGTCACATAATGTGTAGAATAAAGTACAGCCATCTTGAGCCCATGCCAAGCTAACAACCCCCTCAACTCTGTGATTTGAAAGAACAATCCTTCTTCGAAGGTCCTTGATTTGAAGCACAAATTGTTCATTACCAGTTATATCAAGTGTATATGCAAGAAATCTGTTGTCTGGTGATACTCGACATGTACCCACATGTACATATCCTATATAAGCAAAAGCAACATAAGAGCCAAAAGGACAGTACTATGGACAAACTGCATTTAAAGACAAGGAACTTAAAAAATAGATGCTTACAGATGCACTACAATTTTACAACTACAACTGAATACTTTCCAGCCTTGTTCACTTCCACTGATAAGGCTATCTATTGCCAAGATTCTAAAACACAAAAATACAAATCAGCCCACTGAACTAACAGGGACAGTTGCTAGCTGTAGGCATCTCAGATTGCAAGAGCCATACATGCTATAAGGCACTATATACTGTGTGAGCAATATAATATGCTGAAACAATTGAACTTACGAACAACTTTCTAGGAAGTCTTTTGAAATATACTAGAGAACAATAATATTAGTTGATTTCCTCATAATGCAATATTTCGCCAATAAGAAAGGAAATGTATGTTAGAAAACAATAGTTCTGAGCAATATGAAATCCTTGAGATCTAACAGAAAAGTAGACATATAAAGTTACCATATAGCTCAGCAATTTCATTCCAATCTAGCAATATTTCTTCCTCCCAAAATCCTTTGCTCATGTAGTTGACAACTTTCTTCATCCAACCTTTCCCGTCATTAGCCAACTTCCTACATAAAACCGGATACTCCTTTCCCTCCGGAATATGCTGGTAGTACAACCTGATGAACCCCATAAGAAAAATTTTCAATTCAACATTTAAGAACCCCGTAAATTCTGGTCATATATAAAGAAGATGGATGCATAAACACAATATAATAACTTTCAACAAAGAAAGTCACGTTAGTCAGAAAGTCAACAACTTAAAAAAAATGTTATCTTTAACTAAGACACAGAAGGATACAAGATGAAGGCTAAGCAATATTCAGCTCCTTCAACAATATATACGAGACACTAATATAAAAACCAATAAGGTAAAAGCTTATAAAAAATGGAATCTCTTGAAAGCCCAGAAGGATTTAGGAGTTAGGCCTTCTCAGCTTTACTCCTGCATGCCATGAAGTTGATTCCATGCACCAGAAATTGTAAGAAAATGGAGCAATGTTGACATGTTGTCAAGGCTTACCACTTTTAAAATCACAACATTCATAAACAAAACCATTGAGCCCCACAGACAGACCTGAGAGTAAACGATCCTAATCGAGCCAAGCACCATACAGCTCAGGCTGGGTTTACTTTTCTAACAAACTTAAATCGTGTTTAAACTTGGCTTCATAATTATGTAAAATGAAGTAAAACGAGCTTTCTTCAAGTCAAAATCCAGTCGAGCTCAAGTAGGTTGATTTATTCACATGTAACATTGGAAGTGCTAAGCTTGTTAAGCCGAGCTCAAATTGAGCTTGAAAAGCTAAAAAAACACTGATCTTGTATAGACTCATTCTATTAGTTGACAAACCAATCCACTCTTGAACAAGTTCTCATCAAGTGGAGCTCGAGTCGATGTGAGCAGCTTGATCCTTCTTTCATCCCTCCAAACACATATACACCCCCTTTAATAGAGGCTTACGCCTTCCCACTTTAAACTCAACACATTCATAAATGTGAAATTAAATTTTCACACACTAGCATCCAATTACACCTATTCATGCACGATTATTACGAAAATATAAATCAATATAAGTAAAAAAAAAAATGAAATGGGATTCGAGCAAAAGGAATACCAATCTCCCCATCGTTCAGGCGGGGTAGAAATCTTGGAGGGCATTCTATTTATCATCTCAGAAAAAAGGGTTCTTTGCAGTTCTTCTGTATCTTTCATGAAAGCATCCGCATAAGAGTTTTCTTGACGAAGGTAGTTGATGAAATCCGGGTCGTTGGTATTGGACATCCAATGGTAGGGGTCTTGCCACGACAGTCCATGAGCAGAGACTGTGAAAGGTACTTTCTTTGGGACTGGAGGGGCCTGGGGTGGGCTGAAAGAATGGTGGCTTTTGCAGAAGGTGGAGAAGAGTGAAGAAAACGAGGATGAAATGGAGAATAGTTCTAAGTTCAGGGGTAAATGGGTCTTTGTGATTCTGTTTCTGGTGGCTGATAAGAGGGCTGCAGAAGCCATACACGGCGGTGGCGAGGGGGAACTGGGGACTGGAGAGTGGTGAGTTTGGTGCTGAAAGGTATTATTTAGTAATTACTATTTGGCCTATTAGAGTTTAAGCTACTTTCAATTATGTCCCCGTGGAGGATCTCTCGGACTCAAGTTTAGCAATTAATTGGTATTCAAAATTAGTACTAATTCAATTTTTTTTTTTTTGGCATAAAAGATATAATTTCATATCATGAAATCTGCACTAATTAGTACTAATTCAATTTTGAACAAGCTCTATATAATAAACTTGAATCGAGTTTATAGTTTTCTTCACATTCTTTTAATTTTTTGTGTCTAGTTGCATATGTATGTGAACATTCAATTTTTTGTCAATGCCCCCAAAATCCTTTTATTTTTTTGCTTCTAATTGTTAGAACCATTTATATTAGTGGACATAAGCCGTGGCAGGTAAGATTTGATTTCTTCTCTTCTGGAATATGTTTCTGGTCTTTCTGTGCTGTTTGATATGTGCTCTGTTTCCCACATCAAGAGAGAGTATAATAAAATTAGGATTGACTTAAATATGTCTTGCCTCTGTGGATAACACAGACTGTGTAGGAAATAGTTAGACCTTTCTTTAGCTGATACATTGCAAGTACTTTTATCCACAGTACATTATTGAAAAACTAAGTGAAAGGTTTTTCACATCATAGATTGCTTGACATATTTAGGTAAATGCGTCACAAGCAGGAATGAGCAGCACTAATCCATCATCACCTTTACCACTTCTGTTTACCTCCAAGTTGCTCGAGAGTTTAAAGCTGCACAAGTCCACAATCTCATCCACAATGCCTGCTGATTCTTCCTCTTCCTCCTCAGAGAAAGGGCACCCCATGAACTCAGCGATTCATCTGATGTGGAAATCGGGTTCATCTCTCAGCTCTTCATATGTCAAGAACAAAACTTTCCCAGGATTTCCTGCCAATACTGCAGCACATTGTTCCAAAATGGTCCAGCCAGACTCACTACTCCCCTGCAGAACTTGTAGAAAGCCTCTTCCAGTGAAAGGCTTCCCATTTCAGGCTTTCTCATTTTGTTTGCGAAGTGTCAAAGGGATATTTAAGCATCCTTGGACTTCCTGCAGATGTAGATCAGCTTGCACCCTGAGTCCTTCACGGATTTTGGCAATGACCGTAAGACATGTGAGTCGCTATGATCCTAGGAGGAGAAGGGGGATCAGGATCAGGTACTTGTTCATCAAATTCATAATCGTACTCCTGCATCGGCACCAGTTTGTGGGAATTCTTCGTCAGCAGCAGGTGGCTGTTGTCTCTAGGAGGATGACGTTCTCAATTCGACACGGCAAATGCTAAAGACTTGAGCCAGATGGTGCGCATTTGGGGTTACAGGCAAGAATGATATGGGTATCATGAGCTTGGAAGCGTTTTTGACACGTTGGGAGATTTGTACACGCTATGTTTGGGTACCAAAACCCTTCGAGCAGGTACAAATAAGGCTCACCCCATCCCCTTTCTCTGGGCAGATTTGAAAGAATGTTCCTACATTCTTCAGGCAATTCTTCCTCCAGCATCCCTGGACGTAGTATAGACGACTCTGATTGTGCTGACATCTTTTTTTTCCTTTTTTCGTTTCTTGGTTTTTTCTTCTAAGAAATCTGAAGATGGTGAATGAAGTCTAGAGCCAATAATGCTGCCCTGAAATTTATGCAACCGAAATAAGGTTTTCAAAACACCCAATCTAGAAACTAAGATTTGCGAGAGATCGAAGAATTTTGGTTCGGAGAAGTAGAGAATTGATCTCACTGCTCGTGTTCGTAACTTGTGTCCAGAAATGATGGATCCATTGTTTATTTAGAGTGGAAATACAATTAGTGGAACACAAGTGGGATATACAGTTAGTTGATCCACCAATTACTGCACCCCAAGACAAGTGTTCATTAATCAACATTGATGTGTAGACTAACTCAGGAAAAATGGCATGGTTCTATCGTTTAATTGTCTAGCTTTCTGGATATCTGATTATAAGTATTGTATTTAAGAAATGCTTTAACCTCAGGACAAGATTATTGCTTAAAACATAATAAGGCCACATTACGCTATGCATAGTAATGGCAAGTGCTGGCAAGAAACACAGATTTACATAATCCGCTTCAGTGGAAATATCATACCCTCATCCTTTTGTGCATTTATTTCAGTTCGCCATAAGCAGTCAGCGAGTGGAGGTAGGGAAATGAAGATTGAGCAAGGTAATTCTATGGCTGCGAGAAAAATTTGGCAAGTTACTGTTAGTCTGCTACTACAGTTGACTGAAGATACTATAACAGATATTCTGGACTCAAGATATTTTAGTTTATTTTTTCACAATGAAGTCAAAAAATGCAGGTGAATTCTTTGATAAATTACAAACTCGTGATTCAGGTTTTTAATAAATACTTTCGAAACAGTAGAGCACTGTAAAGTCCAATCTGAGATTCCACCAACTAGATCAAGAAAGAAACTTCTGCAGGCATGATTCAGTAAAGAAAACATCAGCAGCATGATTCAAGTGATCCCAAAAAATTAGCGAGGGTCATCCTGGAAACTGGCATGGTACAATTATTTGCCAATTTTCTCGTGGAATCCTTCCTTTGTTTTTTGCAATGTACTTAGGTGGTTAACCAACTATAACATATCAAATGTATGACCAAGTATTTCGTTTTTCAAGTTTCAAAGTTGCTTTATGTGCTCCAACTCCAAGTTGCATAAATAAGAAAATAGTCGGGAAAAAAAAGTTAAAGTGTGGTTTAGATGTTTGATGGGTGACTCGAATCTGCCAAATTATTAGTTAGGTTTGACAGATTAAAAAAAAAATTGCCCAATTATTAGTCAGATGTGATGAGAGGGAATCGAATCTGCTGAAATATTAGCAGCTGTCATTGGGTCACCTTCTAGTTGTAACAGCTTAAAAAACCCAAATTCATTGGGCGAAGTTTGACTGCTGCTTCCATAAGAGCCGAAACCAATCAATGATAGGAGGCATAGCGGGCGCTGCATACATTACTAGCTTATAAATGGACCTCCTGCTTGCGCACTTGGAAATTAACTTGGCAACTGATCTAAAGGCGCTGCATTTGAAGATTTAGTTCCAAAAAATTCTTAGCAACACATGGAAAAAGCTGTGAATATTGATGAGCTTCTTGAAGCTCTAACTCATACACAGCGTGCATTGTTCAACTTTAAGAAATCTGCATGTGTAAAATGTGCAGTTGAGTTGGGAATCCCAGAAGTAATAAGTAAACATGGGAAGCCTATTACACTTTCTGAGCTGATTTCTGCCCTCCCAATCCACCCTTATAAATCTGATCACATTCATCGCTTGATGCAATTCCTAGCAAACTCTGATTTCTTCGTGGAAAATCCTGATCAGCACTCACCCCTGCAGGCCGGCATCTTTTAAAAGATGAGCCATTCAATGTAAGGGCATACGTTTTTATGGAAGCTGATCCTGTCGTGTTGAAGCCTTGGTACGTTTTTCTTGAGTGAGTGGTTCCAGAATGATGATCTCTCTCCATTCTATACCGCACACGGGAATAATTTCTGGCATTATGCAGCTCGAGAAGTCCCATTTGGGCAAATGTTGAATGAAGTCATGGCTAATGATTCTGAGTTTTGTATAGAGGTTCTGATGACCAAATGCAAGTTCGTGTTCGAGGGCTTGGCAACTTTGGCTGATGATGGGGGTGGCACAGGCAAATTTGCTAGGGCCATCGCCAAAAAGTTTCCTAGCATCAAATGTACTGTGTATGATCTCCCACATGCGGTTGCTAATGAAGGAGGAGATAAGAACGTGGACTTTGTTGCTGGAGATATGTTTGAAAGTGTACCCTATGCTAATGCAATCTTACTCAAGGTAATAAAAGACATTCTTCCCGGGAATTTAGGATTTTCTGTATCCCTTTTTGCTGTTCTCTTAGGAACTGTTTTGCTTGCATGATCTGGAACTAGCATATGTCCAAGATAGTAATGCGTGATTTTTATGGTCTGAACAGTTGATCCTCCATGACTGGAGTGATGAAGACTGTACGAAAATTCTGAAGAACTGCAGAAAGGCCATTGCAGAGAAACACGAGGGTGGTAAAGTGATCATTATAGACATTGTAATGGGAAGCCAGATACAAGATAAAGCATCACTTCAAACACAGATCAACACGGACATGCAGATGTTGGTTGCGCTCGGTCCTGCTAAAGAAAGAACTGAGAAGGAATGGGCAAAACTGTTTATGGAGGCTGGATTTACTAGCTACAAGGTATATCCAATCTTGGGTACCGTAAGGTCCCTGATTGAGGTTTATCCTTAAATTGAGGAACATTTGCTACTGTGAATGAATAATTAATTGTCAGTTTTACTTTATTTTGTTTAATTCAGTTTTTTATTTTGTTTTTTGTTTTTGGCTGAGTTACAAATCTCAGCATTTTCTTTTTTAACCTCATATTGCACCTAGTTGTGTTCATCCCCATGTAATTTGTGGCATTCATCATGACCTTTTTTTTTTTTTCCTTCTATGAGAAGATGCCAAAAAATGTCTCCAGGTTTGGTTGTTATTTTAAGACTATTCTTTAGTTGTTAATTCATGGGGGTCAGGAATTATAAGTATGAATGTTATTTCTTCTATAATTCGTAAGTTTTTATCTTTCTTGTTGTACATCAACAAAAGTGCTCTGACCATCAAAGTACACGAAACATAATTGAAATTTTTTCAACATGTTTCAAACCTTACAATGCTTTGGTTTATCAAATTCTCCTCCACAGACTTCGTTTTAGCGAAACGGGTTGAAACATATCTATCCAGCCCATTTAGGATGATATATCATTCAGATTCAAGTCGAATCCGGATAAACGGACTTGGAAGGAATTTTCGATCTGGAAATATGATGGACTGGATTTGGGTTTGACTCGGGACTGGTTCCGACCCGTTGACACCTCTAGGCCTAAATAACGAGGGTATATTTAGTAATTTCCCATAGTTTTAATTCTTTAGAAATTGAATCATACTAAGAATTTTTTAAATTCTTTTTATTTTATTCAAAAGATCAATAGTTTTCTACTTACTTTCCTGATGATCCGAACCCGTCATCTATCAGTTATTACTTAAACTATGCCTTGTTATCAATCATACCAAGACTTGATAATTAATTTCTTTGTTGATCATCATTGCCAAGAAAAAACAAGGTCAGATTTTTTGCTTAAGGGATATGAAAGTCTATATATATATATATATATATATATATATACTTTTTAAAATTTTTTTGTTCAAAGAATCAATAGTAATTTCTCACTTGCTCCTTGATGATTCGAACTCATAACTTAGCAGTTTCAGATGAAACACAGTATCAACTAAACTGTGTTTCATCATCAATCATACCAAGACTTGATTTCTTTGCTGATCATCATTGCCAAGAAAAAGTGAGGTAAGATTTTTTGCTCGAGGGACTTGATAGTCCACACACATACATGCGTGCACACACACACACATATAGAGAGAGAGAGCAATTTTTTAAGTGACAAAATTCTGATCATTGAAGTAAGTAAAAAAAATTTTTTTTAAAGGTAAAGTACGTAACATTAGTATGAAACCTGTTAAGAAGTTTGAAATCTGAGCATGCACTTATCAATTTCCCTGCCCCCTTACACTTGGTTTTAACTTTTAACAGAGTATTTTGGGGGAAGCAACCTTCTCAGGTTTACATACTACTTTGATGCGCATAATGTACGGCATGTTGGGATTTTATGTCCATCGAGGTCGAGGAAGGACAATGGGAACCCACCCCACCACTTCTTCCTTCAAATTGCTTCGTTTCCAACAAATATCGTGCAGATATCTATCTCATGGGGCGGTTAGATTTGCACCGAATACAAGCAACCATTGTTCGAAATTTGCGAGAGCATGCGCCTTGAGTTCCCAAAATTGGAATGGAATTTGAACTATTCCTTTGACTGCTTCAAAAGAGTAGTAATGAAATAGTACGTAGCTAAGAATAGCAAAACACATCATCCATGGAGCTAAGTGAAAAGATTTAGTAGTACATCATCAAAAGGACAAAGGTCCCTCCTCAGGGCCGGGTTTAGTTAGCAGCAAAAGTTGGAATTATGTGTCGGCCATCTTAAAGCTACAAGACAAGAAGTTCCTCATTTCCCTAATTACAATAAAACCCTGTTTCCAAAACTGTATGCCAAAAAGAAAGCTGATCACTTTCTTTTCTAATATATTTTTGCAACTAAAATATTATACTAGTTAATCTTCGTGAGATATCACCCCATGTTTCATGGAGCCACCGGGACAGACTTGTTATGTACGGGACGTCTTCTTCTCACAGGCATATAATCCATAGTAAAGAATTGTGAAGCGTCCGCCCCTTCCATCCGTTCTTGCCGTGACGTCCCTTTCCTTGCATGCACCAATTTGGCTTCTTTGTGATGCGATTCATCTGTTGACGTGGGCAAATTAATAATAGAGTGGACAAGTTATTACTGCTATGTAGAAGAAGATTAGTAGATCCTTCGAAACTTAAAAAAATGGAAGATTTACCGACGTTTTAATTTGATTACAAGAACAACATAACTAGCTCGGTCTAGACTCGTGGGTAATTTTTTTTAGCTACTTCTAGATTATGTTGAATTGTTGATTATCCTAAAATCATAATTTAATCTAAGTGATTGCATGCATCTACCACTAGGATCTTTTTTTGTGTTTTTTTTTTTTTTTGAAAGAATCTACCACCAGGAGCTATACCATACATCCAGTGATAGGGCTAGGATGGACTTAACACGTAGCTTCGAGATTTACTAGTTTGGATAAAGTGTGCATGCAATCCGGATGGCATATAGTATGTTAATGATCTAGAGTCTATGGCCATATGTTTTTTGTAAGTACGTACTTTTCTTAAATACAAAGAAAATTAAAAGAAACATGCACAGTATTGCTGTTGTAACTATACCTGAGCAAACAAAAACAGAGGCCAAAAAAAAAAACAAAAAAAGGACATTGGCAAAACGACTTGTTTTCTCATTCACCAATTTGATGTGTAATACGACATGAAATGAGAACTTCAAGGACAGAGGAAGAGGCTACACAGGAAAACTAGTTCTCCCATAGAGTTGGTCATTCATGATCCCAAAAGGGTTTTCTCGTGGCGTTAGGTTTTTTGTTTTTTTAATAATTTTTCTTTACATGTGCAACTTTAGAAGTTACTTCTGCTGAAAGGGAAAAAAAAAAGAATAGAGAATGTCCGCAATGCCTTGAAGCGAAAAGAATGGGTATTTGTAAGCTGATTTACGTAGATATGTTAGCGGGGAAGTGTACACAAAACATGAATTCAAAATCTTTGATTTCCAATTTCTTTGTACGAAACACATATACCTTGTAAAGCTTCATCCTGCATCTCGTATGGCATGTAATGATGCTTGTTTCCAACAGTTTTCACCTACTCAACGTGGGGAAAGAACCAGTAAATCAAGAATCAAGTTCGTGTATACTAACAAATTTCAGAATGCTTAGTTTTATTTAAAATCAGTAAATGAACAAGTTCATCTTATATTGAGTGTACATAATGCTTACATTAGCCTCTTGATGGAACTTCAGCTTCCTTGATAATGCAGGAAAACTGTGCTGCAAATGATCTGCAGAATGATGAGATGAGTGCATGTACTAGCCTATGGATGTCGAAGATACACTCAATCACAAATTCATCTTTGTATGTGCAGAGAAAGAAATATAAATTTTTACCTTGTTCGTGGGGCGTTTGTGCTAAAATCTGGAGAGAAGCACAAGGTGAAAGCATGAATGTGAGAAGAATACCAAGTACTGAGATGATTGTGTACAAATCCATCATATATAACTATCACAATGACTCGAGAACTTAAACTGAAGAGGGTTTTCCTTTGTGGCTAAAACTTTGAATATATAAAGCATGAGCTAGTACCGAAACCACAGACCACAGTCCATACAGGAAGATAGAGACAGACAAAGCAAGAGAACATACACAAAGCACAAAATGCAGAGTTCCAAAAAACGAGTGCACAATCAATCCTTATTTTTATACTTACCTTTTTAGTAACCTTCGCAAAACTTGGGTTGTTTTTTTGTCACTTTCCATGCAGACCCACTAATGGGGTTTTAGTTTTAAATCATTCATATGTAGTTACGTGGTACATATGCGAAAGAGCCTTAAAATACTGAAGTTTGTTAGAGGGATGCCAAAAGATCAATGCCTCAAATCCTTTTTTTCGCAGTATCTAACGTAACTTGGCTTGGGTTTCATCTCCATACGATTGCGTACAGAGTATCTTGAATATTTGATGATGTGAACAATCAAAATTCTGTGATGTTCATAACTTGCGTTTGACCTGGCCGTTTAAATAAGACCTCTAGTTTGGTACAATGAGGAGGAGTTTATTATGGTCAATGCAATGAGATTTGTGGAATGAGTCGCGCCTGTCATCCTAATGCATCAAATTTATTTAGAATGTGCTTGATGTGGAAAAAAGTATCATGGACTGAGTGCTGAAATCATACCTCCACTTTGGTACAATGAGGAGTTTATTATGATCCATGCCGTGAGATTTATGGAATTAATCATGTTTTTTTGCCATTGTCATGGTATTATTTGAAAAATTCAAATAATAATAGAATCATGAAACTTTTGTTTGTCATATATGAAACTATTTTACTATTTATAAAAGGAAAATTTGTCAAATCGATCCCTAATATTTTTACAAAAATTTTTTTAATTTCCAACATTTAAAATAGATAAAATCGTCCCTAATATATAAATTATTATCCATTTTAATCATAATACTCGTATTTGCTCATTTTTTTAATTAAAAAAAAATAACACGCCTTTCTCACGTGAATATATTTTTAAGGGCAAAATCGAAAAACATTAATCGTCCGGTCAAAAGCAAAAGTGACCCTTTTCACCTTTCCTCCTAAAATTACAATCACGAAAAACCCTAAAAGACCAACCGGCAAATCCAAAACTCAGCTACAAACTCAGCTACCAAAGGCCGAATTTGCTGTTGCTTTTGAAGATGCCACGCGAATCAGTACTGAAAGATTCAATTCCCCTGTTCCCTTGATTTGGGAGGCTAAACGGGCTCTGAATGTTGGATCAGAGAAGAAACTTAAGAAAGCTATTGATCAAGTTCGGGAATTTGCTAAACAGATCATCAAAGAAAAGAAGGCAGAAGAAGTGGAAGAAAAATCATCAATTGATTCAGTTGATCTCTTGTCATGATTCTTAAGCTCAAGCCACTCCAATGAAGATTTCGTCACCGACATTGTTATCAACTTTATCTTGGCAGGCCGAGACACAACCTCTGCCGCATTAACATGGTTCTTCTGGTTAGTCTTTGGCAACCCAGATGTTGAGAAGAAAATCATAAAAGAAATCAAAGAAAAGTCTAAATCTCCGGTATATGATGAAGTTAAGGACATGGTTTACACGCATGCTTCGCTTTGCGAAACCATGAGACTCTACCCACCGGTTTCTACAGATACCAAAGAAGCAACAGAGGATGATGTATTGCCCGATGGGACAGTTGTTAGGAAGGGCACCAGGGTGACTTATCATCCCTGTGCAATGGGTAGGATAGAGGAGGTGTGGGGTTCGGATTGGGCGGAATTTAAGCCAGAGAGGTGGTTGGAGAGGGATGGGCTGAGCGGAAAATGGAACTTTGTAGGTAAGGACTCGTACACCTACCCTGTATTTCATGCTAGCCTAAGGATTTGTCTCGGAAAGGAGTTGGCTTTCCTGCAGATGAAAAGGGTGGTTGCTAGTGTCCTACGGCGATTTAAGGTGATGCCGGCAACAGAGGGAGGAGTGGAGCCGGTGTTCTTGTGAGAATATAAGGTGCTGGTGTCTTCCGGTTTTATCCTTAAAAATATGTCCACGTGAGAGAGTCGTGCTATTTTCAGTCGTAAAAATGAGCAAATACGAGCATTAGAACCAAAATAGATCATAATTTATACGTTAGGGATGATTCTGACCGATTTTAAATGTTAGGAGCTAAAAAAAATTTTTTGTGAAAATATTAGGGATTAATTTGACAAATTGCCCTTTATAAAAAGGGCATCTGTTAAAATCTATATTTCATCATTTTCATGGTATTTAATCTCTTTTCCTCCAAATGCTGCATCTTGTGTGCGTATATTTGCATTCAATGTGATTCATTGCTCGACAATTTTCTATTCACACAAAATGAGCTGCAAAAAGAACAACAAATTGAACAAGAAGTTCATTTGATTGAAGAAGTAAAACATTAGGGCCAAGAAGATTTTATTTTAGAGATAGCACTAAGTTACTTAAATTTTTCATAAACAAATGAACTTGTACGTTTCTAGATGTGGATCTCCATGTACCATTATACCGAGTTTAACCGACTCCTCAAACCCCGTCAATCTTTTTTCCTGCCCATGTCATGGGATTAAATTACCATTTTATAATTATTGAAATCAGTTGCACTTCGCATATCGTATACGTACATTCAACTATTGCATGTGAAATGTTCAAAAAAAGAAGATAAAAATAATAATGGCCTCCCCCTTTATTAATAATTATTATCGTACTATGTTGAGGAAAGAGCCATATAGAGAGCAAGACAAGAGTTCTAAATTCTAAAATATTAAAATATATATATATATATATATATATACACACACACACACACAAATACAAACTCTTTTTTTTTGGAATAAAAAATAATTTCATTCAGATTTACGCACTAATAACAGCAAGTACATCAAATATGATATAGATTAAGTAATAAATCCATATAGATCTGAAAAATCAAATGATATAACAAATCTTTAAAAAAAAACCTATAAATTTTTGGGGGACTCTTGTACGTCCCTACCAATTAGCTCATTTTAGACACACTACACCAAGAGATCATGATGCGCCGACATGGTGAAAGCAAATAGTAGTTTCTTACTTTCTTTTAACGGCTGCCAACTTTGCCTGCCGCCAGCCCTTATGACTTCGCGGGAGTTTTCAACGCCCCTTTTAGTTTTTCTTGATACAAGCAGGCAAATTCTGACTGTAAGAAAGTTACCGAAAATATGGAAACATATGGTCTAACAACTGCCATTCTATAGTGGTTTTTAGCTGCTGTTGCTTTATGTCATCAATGGGTAATTGCCACGAGATTGACAACTACACGTCTTTGGACTCAACAACAAAAAGAAAATGCACCCAGAACTGGAACAGGGGCATAAGAAAAGGAGCTAATTCCTAGCAATGTCAAGGTTTAATATGATTGCCACGAAGAATCCAACTCTAACCCTGTAGAAGTTAGCTGCATCAGAACATGCTGCTGTATGGAAAAAGCTGCAGTGCAATTAGTAGGATTTGTACATGAATCTTCTGATAAATAGATGACCGCTCAACGGCTCAAGAGCTAAAATGTAAACATCAATTAGACATCAACTTTGCTCATTCGAGTTTAAAAACTCAAAAAGGGAAAATAAACCTAAAAGAATATTGACAAGTATACTAAGAGCACTCGATGGCCCACAGCTTCATATCTTGATGCTGTATATACCTAAGCTAATAAGAACTATATGTAGAAGGATGTATTTAGAATCTACAGCAAAAAAGGCCCTGTATCCACCCCCGGTGTTTCCGGATATGCCTCCGCTCGGCCTTTGTCATTCTCACAGGACTGCTATTCCATTCAGATTGTAATCTGTCAAAAGCAGAGAAAGCTGTCAATCATAAAGACCATGGCTTGGCAGATTCTTGAAAAACTAAGGGTAACTGCTTCAGTAGGTTAAATATTCACATGGGGAACGCAAAGGACCGCGTGCTGGTGGTGCTGCTATCTGATCGAAGAGATGTGCTCCCAGAATAAGCTATTGGCCCTGAGTACGTAATAAGACCTGATAAAGGTCCTGTTGAAGAGAAACTTGACTCCCCCCCACCACGATGGACTTGGCTAGGATGGTCCACTGCATCTTGTTGCTGGGCTTTTGGCTCATGAACAGTGGTTTCGTTCTTGTCCGTGCTGCTTCCACATTCAATGAGAGCAGCTGATTGGTCAGTCAAATTCTCCTGCTTGTGATTGAGCACACCCTCTGACTTGAGGACTTCTTCATGACTGTTTTCAGCAGACTCATCAGCGTGGCTATCTATTGCAGGTTTGGGAGACTTGAAATCAAATGTGATTGTCCCACTTTCCACTTTGCTATTATAATGCAAATTATTGGCTGTTCCACTCTTCTTTGATGCGTCTGCAGTAAAAGCTACGGCAAGGCTTTCTAAAATAGAATCTACGGATGGAACCTGTATAGCAACCAACAAATGAGGAATCAGATTTCAAGATTCAGGCATCTCAAGGTGTCTAAATCTCGAGAATTGGGCAAAACAATACCTCGTCAAGCTGTTTTGGAGCTTTGTTCCCATCACAGTTGGATAATAGTTGAATAGAGTCCTGCACAACTGACTCTTGCGAGCTACGTCCACTAATCACAGCAGATTCATCCTCAGAAACATCATCTGCTCTCCTTTCGGTGGAACTCCAATTTGCTTCACCCATCTGCGTCACATTCCCTGGGCCACGTACCTTAGTAGCATCCTTGCCAGCATGTTCTTCCAAGGAGGATTTTGATCCCTCCATGAAAAAGGTTGAAATATCCACTTCAACTTTGGCTCCACAATCAATAGAAACACTGTTTGTGATATCATCTACTGTAGAAGCTTTAAGTCCATCTTGGCCGGGTTCAGTGTCATGGCATCCTCTTATTGTCCCACTATGCTGGTCTTGACAAGGCTGCGGAGTTAACATGCCAGGATGACCATCTTTTTCAGCTTCAATCAAAGTTTTGTCCTGGGTAGGCAACCCTTCATCAACACATATGTCCTTAACAATTTGGTAATTGCTATCTCTGTAGCACACAGAAAGTTCCCACTCACGAACACTTTTGTCAGTGTAACGTAGTGAATCTGACTCTGATACAAACAATGATGAAACATTGGTGCACAGTTTCTCGGAATCTCTAGATTCTTTTTCACCATCTACAATAATTGAGCTCTCAAATTTTGGACTACTCCGTAGTTTATCTTCATGGTCTGATAGCTCAGTACCAGCAGCACCATCATTCGAATGACACAAGGGCCCTTCATGATCTCCCAGCTTTCCAGGATCTCTAGCTTTGTCATCATCAGTGGTGGTCCTTATGTCCGCAACCGCAGAGCACTTGAGCACAGATGCATGCAAAGAATCATGCACATTTTCCATCTGAAATGCTAGAGGATCTGCCACCCTCTCAAAGCCATTTGAATGGCATAAGATATCACTCTTATCTTTCTTCATTGTCAACTTCACTTCAGGGATGTCCAAGTCCCTGTTAAAGCAATAACTGGTTTTAGGATCATGTTTGTGTAATAGAATCATAGGCAGAGCATTTAAATACTCAACATCTAGTACTCCTGAACATAATTATTGACATAATTTCTTTTTCTTGGTGAGTACAGACAGACATGGAAGTTAGATGCACAAAAGGTAGACCAAGTAGAATCCAGTAATAGCATACCAAAAATCTTTTTGCAGTGAATCAAGCAAGGCTCAAAACAAGACATAATTCTATAGCTTGAACCTGGCACTGCTGTATCATGTTGAGATAGATGAAGTGCCTAAAATCCTCACTAAATGGATCTCATATGAAGATCCCCACTAGTCTTTATTAAACTGCTACCAATAAGAAACAATAACTGAGAACTAGTGCTTATCAAACCACCAGAATATACATTCTATACAGCAAACACACACCCAGCAGAACTTGTGAGCCCTTGAAAAACAGGTGAAGAAAGAAAAACAGGAAAGGAAAGGGGGGAAAAAAAGAATGCCACCGACTAATGCTGAGTAGCTACTCTACACGATACTACGCAGACCCAACAACAGTTTGAAACCAGCAAAGACAGCAGAATTACCAGGTTTCATAGTTTACATCAGCAGGAATAGTTTGTAAAATTCTCAACAGCTGTGAAGCAAACATCCACTATTTTTGGCAGCTATGACTAAGGCAACCTGCCTATGAAATTGAAGGTGAAGTTAGTTACCGTTCAGTCCAAGCTTGACACCAGGTGCTTGATAATACCAAGCACCGAGTTAACTGAGCAAAGTAATGCAGGCAAGTAACTCATACACAATAGCCAAAAATTATCAATTATGAAAGAAACTACGCTAAAAATCAGAACCAACAATTTTATTCCTTGGTCTCTGATCCCTTAGCAGGGCAGGAAATTTTAGAAGAAAAACAACAAACGTGATTCCATAAAGATTCTCATAAGGTAGAGCTGGACAAAAATCATGTGGGCTGCCTATTTGCCTCCACAACAAACAGTGAATCAGGGGGAAGGAAGGTATAAAATGTACCAAGCAAGCAATAAAATCTTCCTGACAAGGAAGAAAAATGAATCTTGTCTTATTCAAGATCACAAAAACCATCAAATATTCAAAGCAACTGTGGTTACCCTCTCATGCTGTTCAAAGGGGGTCGTTTTCTCCCACAAGTAAATTCAACAAAATAAATTTCCTAGTTTAGAAGAGAGCTTCCTAATCTGGGAGATCGCCTCATTTACAGGGGGAAAAAAAGAAATAAAAACCGTAAAATACAGCTAAAGCTAAATCCTATTGGCTAGTCCATCGAATCAAAGAAAAAAATATTACTCTGGCAGCTAATTGTCAATCACCGTGTCAAAAACAATGTCACATTTCCATCCAACTCTTCCTTAGATCTTCTTCTGGATTTCGCGACCTCCTAAACATTTTATTATTTTTCTATACTTGGTGGAGTCAGTTGTTTAGCTTACAATAGTCTGACTCTTGGCATATAACCATGGGGAAGTGGGCATCTCACCTTTGTCCATGGATAAAGAAAAGGACAAATAAAGTTCACAACTTTCCAAGAATTTCGAAACGAACCTTTACCAGCCAAACTATTTCCCCAATCTCCAAAGTCAAAACCTCATTCCACATTTCCCACCACTTCTTGTCCTTTTGCTATCTCTCACCCACTAGATCTAACCCGTACCCCTAAGTATATTAGTCTTAAAGTTTAATATAGTATTCTTACCATAAAGCTTTTCACCATTCTTATCATCCAATATAAAACGCTCAAGCTCTAAAGTAGCAACAGTAACCAATTATATCATTGATTTTCCTCGGATCCCAACAAAAATTACAGCTATTTAATTCACAAATGAAAAGGGAAAAAAAACCATCAGCGAATTCTTTTTCAAAACGGAAAAATTTTTAAAAATAAAACGCACAAAGGAAAAATGGAAATAAAAAACTACAGTCGGTATTTTTCTTTACCTGGTTATTCATATGTGGTACAACCAAAAGGGATATCTTCCAGTATCTCCAGTAGACTGATGATGGATTCTCTCTTCACTGCAAAGTTTCCAAACCATGATCATCAGCTCCAACACTAAAAACATACTAAACCTTAACCTTCAAAAAAAAGAAAATAAAAAAAAAAAGCTTTAGCAATCATAGAACATCAAAATTCATGAAATACATTAAAAGATCGAATCCCAGTAACAGTAAAGCAAAACAGATCAGAGAAGAGAAGCACAGAAGATTTAGTGTGTAAAGATCTAAAATTCTCACATACCATCTATAGCAAAAGAGGGAAAGAACAGTTTTTTTTTTCCAGCAGTAATGATGAAGAAAGAGAAGAAAAACCACCAAGTTATAAATTTTATGCAGGGGGGGGCCTCCAGGCTTCAGCTATAACAGAGGGAATTCAGCTATGTGTTACCAATTTAAATAGTGCTAGTATTTTAGAGGGTCAACTCTCGCCAGTCGCCGCCCCAGAAGGAGGCAGCAGAAGCTCCTTCTTGGACCTTTGGATGTATGGAAAATTGCAAAATGGGGAGGGAGAAAAAGGAAAGAGTGGATGGCAACTCTTATTATATGTGTACACTGTAGAGGCAGACTGGAGCGCACGAAGTGGGCTAAAGATAATACTAAGTGGTAGTGTCCGTAACAAATCAGTTTCAATGCCATTAATTATTGGAATCATCATTATCACACAGTAATTAGTAGTATTAATTAAAAGAGGATGTGTCTAATTGTACCTATTAGGTACGCGTTAATATATATTTGAAAATATAAGATTAATTAGAGAATATGTATAAATATAAGAAAAATTAATAATAATTGTTAATATGTGTATATACATGATAGATTAAATAAAATTTAGATATATTAATGAGTGTCGAATGGACATCAATTTTAAAAACCGTAAAAAACTTATGGTTATGGCTTAAAGTCATTAATAATTGGATTCATTACCACAGTAAGTATTAAAAAGATTTTGGTAATGGGGTAACATTTTCTTTTTTTTTTTTACTATTATTTTGGACGACAGAAATAGAAAGGTAAATATGTTATCTTATAGTAATTCTTTATACAAAATATTGCAGTCGGCGAAGCTTAAGATCTCTCTTTGGAGCAAGTTTTTAAAATTTCATTTTTCAGATTGTAGGACAGAAAACAAGGGAAAAATTGGGTCTTGATGGAGGGTGGACAACAAAATTTGGATGGTTTTTTGTTCTCTGTCAGATGTGATATTCTTTTATTGTCATATATGTGAGGTGAAGTGGGAAAGTCTGACAATGGAATTAGAAGACTATTAACTAAAGAAGAGAATAGAAGGGCTGACCAAAACTTTTTCTACGTGGAAAGGGTGCGCGTGGGGAGGCCTGGCATAGGGACAAAGTGGAAGTCAAGATGCGAGTTGGTTACTTGGAGATGGATTATTGGATTGGTGCTGTTTTCTTCTTCTTCTTCTTCTTGTCTTCTGCTGCAATAAAGTTTAAAAAAAAACAAATCAACAAGGAAATTGATGGGGTGCTTTATGCTACTTATTGCCATACTATCGTATCAGCAAACTCTGGCAACATAAAAAAGATTACCAGATATAAATAAAAAGGGCGAAAACTAATATAACCAATTTATGGAGTATAATTTTATGTGTATAGTTTAGTTTAGACTTTTTTATTCCGGTCTCAAAGTAAAACCTTCTTAAAATTTTGTAGAATTTTTTTAATAGGTGGTTAGGACATTCTTTAGTATACCTAAATTACTGATGTGAATGCGCGCACCCATTCGCGTTAATTACATCTCTTCATTTAGACATTTTTTTCAAATTAATTTCGCTTTTTATCAAAAAAAAATTAACAATCAAGCCCTTTATTTAATAATAGAGCAAGAATTTCTCCCCAATATTTAACCAATTCAATCTCCATTTATTAGCCCACCACGAATCAGACGGGATCCTCTATCCATTATATCTGTTCTTTTTTTTTTATCCAATGCAAAATTACGCAGTTCCACTTATTAATATTGTTGATGTGGCACATAACATTGAATGCATATTTAGGGGTGGCAAGCTATTGAATGAGAGAAAATAACGGAGTACCTCTTCAGTTCAGTGTGTTACGTAGACGTAATTTTTTTTATTACGTTAAAAGAGGTATTGATTATAGTTTAAAAAATCCCTTATTTTGGAGATAAACAACCTATTATGATGGTTTCAGCAAACAACACCTGCTATCAACTGCCCTTGAAAGCCAAATGATTTGAGTTTGATGCTTTGCCTTTGGATATATCGTTTTGCTTGGCGCGTGTACAAATTTTGCCACTTAAAAAACACTGGGCTTTGATTCAATGGCTAAGAGAGCAGTTATCTTGTGTAACAGTCAAGGGTTGGAGGATACAGTAATGTAGTTGTCGTTTATCCCCAATTGGACTTCCCATAGTATAAAAGTGGAGTTGATTATTAACATTTGATTAAAAAAATCTATTCATCAAATCTTAATTTTCATTTTTTTTTATTATCAATCAATAACTTCTACAGCATTTCTACTCTAACCTGTCTAGGGAGGGTTCAACTGGATTAAGGGGATTAGAAAAAAGTGGTTTCCACCTTTAAATCAAAGGGGAGCACTACTGCACATTAAGTCTATACATCAAAATTTAATAATTTTTTTTTGTACAGACCGATTTTATTTCACATTGAATCAAAATGAATTGAGAGGCCACAATTTTCAATTGTACTTCAATTATCTAGAGAGTTGCCATCCCAAACTCATGTACATATTTCCATTTCTGGGGGTTAGAATGCTTTTCTTTTTTGTCTTTAATGCTGAACATGAATACTATTCCCTCCGTCACACTTCACTTTGATAGTTTTGATTTTTTTTTCTCACACAGGTCAAGAAAAATTAATCAACTTTATTGAAAAAGTTCATCTAGTCTAGTATTTTACTAAAATATCATTACATTAATATTTGGAGTGTTATTAATCATTATACCTTAACATTAATTACAATAATAATAATGATGGTATTTAAATCAGTTGACTGTATTAAATAAGGTAACCTATATTTACTGATAATAAAGTATATTAAATAAGAGTATTTTAGAGAAGTTAAAATTTTAGTATATTTTTCAATGGGAAGGTTGATTATAACTTAGAACGGATGAAAAAGAAAAACAAGACTATTAAAATTGAACGGAAAGAGTATTAGCTTTCAATCAAATGTACGTTTGAATTGCAATATCTTCCACATTGAAACCATATAGTAATAATCAATTTAGAAAAAAAAAAAAGTATAAAATGTTTGAATTCATTAAGAATGTTTGACTTGAAAGAGAAAGGCTTTACTTTGGTTTCCTACGCAAACACTTGTCCTTCACAGAATTATTGCTTAATTAGGTAAGCTTGATTTACATATTCATTTGGTTTTCAACTTTCAATAAAATGTTTGCTCGAAGTATTCTCGATCATCCAAAATAAGTTAGTTTGTCGGACTCTAATTTCTGATCTATATGGTAATTAGCTCCGCTGAAATTTTGCGTCTGACAATTAAGGCAAAAAAAAAAAAGAAAAAAAAAGCTTCCTACTCAAATTGATCCGATTAAAGAAATTGTAGTAATACCTTTTTTTTTTTTTTGGATCAATAGCCATTTAATTGATGCTAAAATAGTTTATTTCAAGAAAATGTGGTCCGTTAAGTATTTCTCTCATTAATTAATGACATTCTTGACCTCCTACTTCTAGTGCCTTTGAACAAATTGAATTCACTTTGCAACAAACGTACGGTCAATATTAATGCCTTTCCTAGGAATGGTGTTACGCTATCAATAATGTGATGATGAAGACAGAGATAAATTACCAGACCTGTGCGATTTGCAAGTCGGATGTCTCCATCAATAATTACAGCACTGCAACGGTTATAATCATTCACAATTCATAGATTCAGCCCCTTTTGAAACAGGTGTACATTATCACTACGGTACCAGGATTTGTTCAAAAGAGAATTAATCATGGTTGAAAGATAGTCAAATTATATGATATTTGAATCGAGTTTAGATTGATAAGAACCTGTTGGAGTTTAGTTTGTCGGGTTGAACAGCGTTTTATATCCGATAACATTTAAATTCGATAAAAAAGTTCGTTCAAGTTCGATTTGACAAATAAATAAGTCGAGTTTGAACAAAATTTTAAATTCGTTAAAAGAATTAAAGAATCTCGAATATTAGGATACTCGACTTGATCATACTTATTTACACTCCTAAAATTAATAGCGATTTTTCACTTATCTCTTAATGACTTGAACTCTTAATTTCTTGATTACACATGTCAGAAGAAAACCCGTAGTTATAGCGGGATTTGTATTAGTATTTGGACATGCAAAGGTGCTGTGGATGCTAGTCCTAAACGGTGTAATATTTTTTGAATAATTATGTAATTTTGTGACGACGAAATTGATATAAATAGTAATAAAATCTCATACTTTTATTATTGTAAGAATATATAAGTACTTCATTAAAATTTACAAAATATTAAAATGATGTCATGCTGCTTAGGGACGGTTGCCTTGGCCCGTGCCGGTGGCATATTCGTGAGTTTGACCCCATCAGCCCAAAAAAAAAAGTAGTGTGCCGGTCATTAAACATGCATCTTTGTGTCAAGTGATGACGAGGAAGCCCGCAAATGAAAATAATAATAAAGCGGCGGAAATCAAGAGTGTATCTTCTTAGAACGCTAAGGTTCGTGATTAGATATAACACGTGTCAATTCCACGTCCAAGATTTTATTTTATTTTTTCTTCCAACTTCTAAGGAAACCCCAAGAATTCGATAACTAAACTGAGCCCAAGAGCAATCGTCAAAAGCCGGCAACTTTTGACGATGCCCTTGGAGCTTAACTACCCAACCCTTAACACCCCCCCAGCCGATGTGGGATAGAAACCCCGACAGGGGCCAAGCCTGCGCTGGAAACTGCTACCAGGCCTTAACTAAGAACCCATCCCCAACCGCCGACCCCTTGCAGTTGTTTTTTTTCTTCCAACTTCTAAGGAAACCCCAAGAATTCGATAACTAAACTGATGCAAAATTTGGATAGAATGTCAAATTTGTCTTTCTAAAGTCAATTTACAATTTAGGCTTGAAGGGGTAGTTTTGTCATTTCAATAAAAATTCTTGCGGAATCAAAACTTGAAATATTTTAATCGCACTCTCATTATTTGTTTTATTATATAATCTAATAAATAAAACCCTTATGATAAAAATGATAATCAGAGTGTGATTAACAAAAAAAAAAAAAGGAGAATGCAATTAATATTTATTTTCCTAAAATTAATATGCCGCGGCAATTAACATTTACCACCCCTGTGTATGGGTTTGCCATTAAAAAAAGAGAGAAAGTGGCAATTTAAAATTCAAATTTTGCTCACGTGTCATTCATCCAACCGTGATAATATATACACTAATAGCAGTGTGTATAAGATTTACTCCTACATTGAACTTCAATTGCTATTACTACAGTCCATCAAGTATTTCTCTGAGTTATTTACACCATGTTACTAGACACATTGGGAGATGCTAGCACCCACACTATTATGCAATTCTAAATACACACATTGGATTTTGACCCCAAAAAAAAATACACATATTGGGCAACTTCTAGTACTAAGTGCATCGAAGGCGTGAATTTAAAATAGATGTATGTGGGTTTAGTTCATTGAACCAGATATGTTCATTCATTATCCAGAATTGGACAAATCCTGGATTTTTCTTTTCTTGTCATATCACACAAAGAACAACAGAGAGAGATTTGTTTGGTGTTTGTTTCTGGAGACAAACTGGGAGTGCTTGATTACACGAATCATTAGAAATGAACTAATAAGCATCCATGCTAATTTACAGGTCTGAAAAGATAGCTTCCTACTAATACTCTAGTCGTGTTTGGTAAATTGGACGAAATCATTAGGAGTTTGAAGAATTACCAAATATGTTCTCCAACAAACATTTGCAAAAATGGGGAAAAAAAAATTATGCCAAATAAGTTCTCCAAAGTCCAAACAATTGAGGGACGATCAGCCAGCCCCGTTGGTGAAGTTAACAATTCATGGAATTCATATAGCGTACTCTTTTTTTTTTTTTTTGTGGGTTCGAGAGAGATTCTAAATCTTACAAGGGGGAAGGAGAAAGGGTCCAACTTGAAACAACCTTAGATTATAATTAGCCTACAACAGAATATGATGATTTGCTTGATGAAGGAAGCAAATAGTAGTGTTCAGGAGGCATGATACAGCATGTTGATGTTTGGCCATGGTTTTCAGCACTCAATATTAAATCCAAAGGGGCTTTGCATGACATGCCCCCACAGACGTTAGGTTGGCATTTGGATACCGCACATCTTCTGTGAGAATGATCAGGTGAAAATGGTCAATTCAGTGTTGAAATTTGTGAAAAAGCAGGATGATTGGAGCAATTAGTGGGATGGTTAATCATGATTTCTTCATTGCAGAAGTACAGAACTAAGTGCTCGTATCATCATTGAACCAGAAATTTACTCCTGCAGAGTCCGACAGTGTTTGAAAATAGAAGAAGAAGAAAAAGTGACACTGCCACTCTACATGAAAATCACTGCTCCTGTGATTTTTATGATGTAAATTTCTGAATGATGCTGAAAACACATGCCATCCAAAAGGAAGAAGAATCCAGTTGCTTCTAAACAGGTTGCTCATGTAAAAGTAGGATTATTGGTCAACAAAATTCTCTCATATTCCCAGTATTCCGCTATTACACTTCAGAGCTAATTACTATCTCTAGCGTACTATAACATTTGATAACATGATTCTACGCAAATGAATCAGCTTATGGGGAAAAATGCAAGAATAGAGATACTACACTTCCAGAATGCATCAACATGGTCCCGTAGTCTGTCGTTTGTACTTTGAGTGGGATGATACTCGGCCAGGGGGTTGAGGAAGCTCAATATAAGAGGAAATCCAAATCCAATGTAGTTGACTGCAATCTTCAAAATCAGTGAAAATCAGCAGGCTTGCCAACTTTTATGTTCTGCTGGCCTAAAAATTCAATAATGGCATTCTTTTGCCAGCTCTTAAAACTCCTGCAGCCAATAAATGATTGATGTTGGTCCAATTGGCAAGGTAAACTAAACAAACATAAGCAGCAGAAATGTAACTGGAACGCGATAAATAAAAAAAAAAAAAACCACTTTGGAATTCAATAGTTCAACATTGACCAATATCCACCGTAGCCTCATTTACAGGAATCTCAGAAGAAACTGGTAAAAGATATGGCGAAACCGACTTGACTTCCTAAATCATGTGGAATCATAAGTTACCAGAATAGGACTCTTATTGAGGATCATGCAAATCAGCAGTCTATCAAAGATATTTATCCAATGTCTTTGCACCTATTCATAGGCCCTGACAGCATAAGAACGCATTAATAGATATTAACATTCTTCCAACAAAGAACGAACTTAGAATTTGTTAGTCTTCTCCTCCTGCTGAGGCCTTTTCCTATTACAGATCTTTTGTCATTTAAATTGCCTTCATAATACACTCTTCTTCATGCACTACATGCCATAGTTCTGTAATTGAATGTACCTTTTGATTAGAATCCAGCATTAAGTGAAGATTTGAAAAATAGTGATTTGTTATGTCACAACCAAAGCTAGCAGAACATACATACCAATTATAATTTGAAAAGGGTTTCAGTCACTACTATGAAAATGGGTGGTTTATGATCTGGTATTGTAACTTAGCATGATGGATTGCTTAACAAAGTTGAACCCCAAAACTTGATCACCAACTAGGTCTGAGAAAGTCCCCTTTTCAGTGATAATTTCGAGCCTTGAGACAATAACTGAATCCCATAAACATGCACAATCCACTGCTTCAGACTAAAATTTAATCCTGTTATCCTTGAATAGGATAGGAAAAGCACATGAAAGAGAACGTGACCAGCAAGAGTTTGATAGTCTTTATTAACTGTTGACTAGTGAGAGAGATGCATCACAAGTTTTTCAGAGATTACAACATGCTACAGTGTACTATCTTGGAACCAATAAGTGTAATTGAAATAGGAGAATCCTTCACATGTATACTTACTTTTGATCAAGATGTGCCAAAATTTCCCCTCCAGGGAAAGCGGCCTTGGTAGCATCAAAAGCAACTTTGATGGCTTGTTTCCAAGTACCTCCTATATCTTCGGCTCTAGGTTTTCCTTTTGATTGGCCAGGATCTTCCATTGGCAAGGAATATCCGGATAGAAGATGGCCCACCCAGGCACCATCTTTCCTGTGAGTACACAATCAGCAGAAACCATCTGAATAAATGCTCCTCTGTATTTAATCAAATATCCATCTTGTATCAGAAAAAGCATATAAAAGAACCCGCATGAGTACGTAGGATTCTAGATGATGGAAACCACAGAAATAAACCGGAAGATGTTTAAACTATCATCATGACTTAAGAGTAAAGTTTTCAGTAAGGCCAGTCTGATGTGTGCTACACATTTTTGATTGCCTTAGAACCGCCAAATTCATACTGGCACACAGTAGATAAAAGGTTTCACCAGTATTCCAAGAAGGATGAGTGCTGTTCAACATACTAGACAAGTTTATATTCAGCATAGATCTGGAGTTAGCTTAATCCTGTTAATAGGTGAGAATATATCCACCAAAATGCACGCAAGCAAGGTATGAAATAAACATGTCCTAATACAACAAGAATGCTTTCCCGAGAATTAAGCTGCAATAGGAAATATTTGACTTACAATATTATATCCATATGTCTTGGTACATAATGCCCTCCACCAATGCCAAGAAGGACTTTTTTCCTTTCACTCTTGCTGCAACATGAAAAATCACATGACTATTAAAGAACCTGATGACAAAATTACCAACTGCCATTTAACATGATAAAATATTAGCAGAGAGAAAATCAAGTGGAGGTGATCCAGAAACAAATGAAGAATAGTAGCATCAACTAGTATCATTACAAAATAGACGGCAGGAAGATACTACGTTTTGATAAAAGCAATTAAAGTACAGGATCAGAGGCCAATGGCTCAAAGTTACTTTAAGAACATAATTAAAGAAAGTTGGCCTTTTCCTGCAGTTATACCTGCTCCAATTCCCAATGGAAGCTTCTTCTCCAAATCCCAGTCCTTCCCAAACTAGCTTCATGCACAGCAAAATAACTCATTACGGAAAAACCTAGCGAGTACAACTCCTAAACAGACAAAAATATCATTTGAAATTGAAGGAATTATTCACTGCAAAGAGGAAACTTATGACTTAGTAGGATCCAGAGAGATCAATTCACATAACAAAGTAAAAGTACATGCATCTATATAAAATGAGAAGAGACACAGCACACAGCAAACTAATGTCTCTTGAGACATTCCATCAGATGCTACTTGACTTTCTCCATGGCTTTACAAATTTAAAGAAAAAAAAACTATGGGAGACCTTCATGTTGAAGCAGGGATGCTAATGTGTGAAAGTGAAATTATCAACTGTGAAAACAGATACAGATGTATTGATAAACACATTGCTACTGAATTTTGCAATTTTTCAAAAACCTCGCCAAACTTTAAACATGCAACTATCAATGCAAGATAGAAGCTAAATATGTATACTCAACTAGAGCAATCACTTGAGCTGCATCCACTCTCTTCCAATAGTCTTCTGTGCTACCTATTTCAAGTAGAAGAAACTCTTTAGCCATGTTTACCAGAAATTGACTACCACTATTGTGCAGGATAAACAACTTGACAGAAACTGACACAGGCACACCAGCATACAGAAAAGAAGTAAGATAGCAGAGGGTAAAAAGAAGCAACATCAACCTATGTACTTTCATCCCTCATGAAAATAAATGTAAGTTGCAACAAATTTTAACAACGACTACCATCAACTATTGTGTCTACAATGTTAAAAAGTCTCCACATATTTTTGCCTAATGTATGAGATGTTAAGCTAGGGTAGGCAAGGTCATAATAAAATCACTAGACATGAATGGTTGACTTAGAAAAAACAAATCGATTGTAAACTGAAGCTCCTTCAAAACATACCAATTTCAATGAACATTGTAGGTTTACTTGTCACAGGCCCATGATGAGTAGCTTCCAAAGTAATCTACACTGACACGAAGAAATAGCTTGAGTTAAACTGTAAAATACTCAACAATGCACAATCCTCTCAGCATTAAGAATATAAAGTGAACTTATCGAGAACACAAACTCACATTTCCAACAGAAAAATATGAACTCTTCTGATACTTTTTCAAAAGAAAAAAAAAAGCAAGTTAATGCCATTTAAAAAATTTCAAAAACATGGAACTACCTCAAATTCAGGAATCAAATTATGAGATTGAGCAATTTTCTTCAAAAGAATCAGCCATTGCCCCATCCGAGGACTCGGTGGCGCTGCCCATCCTGGCCTCCCTCCTTGTGGTGCTTCATCTCCCTCTTTCAAATGCGGGATTCCTAATGAACACATAACAAGCACAGATAAGGACTAAACGCATTACAGATAGCATTCAACAACATGGGAATCTATAAAATTGACCAAAGAGACAAATTATACTCCACTACTCCCACCTGAAAGTATTAACAGAGAAAAAAAAAACTCTTGCATCAAAGAATTTCAATTGCAAAATTCCAAATATTTAATATCAGCACAACTACATGGGCACCTCTGAAGCACCAAACCATACTCAATCAATCAGTTCATACAAAATCACCATGCATGCAAAACCTGACATCCCAAATTCCCACATGCAAAATCCCAGTTACTCATCGGCAGCTATTAAATTGATTAATTAACAAAACACTTTTAAGAATCATACAAAATTGGCATGCAAATCTATCGCCCCAATATCCAAGATGCTTACATACAGTAAAAAGATACCATCTTGGGCCTCAAAAAGGATTAAAAAATAATTAAAAAAAAGGTACCAATTGGGTGGATGGTGAGGGCGGGGAGGTTGGAAACAGCAGTATGTTTGCTAAGGAATATGATCTCATCAACTATTTCACCAGTAGCGTTTTCCCAACGTTGGTCCAAATCATCCTCCGCAATTATGCTCTTGTCATGCTCCAGCAACCTTAATTTATCTCCATTGATGAAGCTTCTGATTCCATCAAATAGCGGGCCAGGGTGATGCCAACCGGGCATGGTCAGAAGGGCCTTAGCCGGGTTGATGGAGGCTGGATCAAGAGTTGTTGCCACCACCAAAGTGACCATTTTTAATAGTTTCTTTTCTCCTCCTTGAGTTCTTCCTTCTTGTCCCTTTTTTGGCTTTCTTCTTCTTGGCTATTTATCAGTTTTCGGCTTTTTGCACTTTCCCACAAGCGGTGGCCGGTGGTTTTGGCGTGGCACCAGAATTGGTGACATACTGATTTTGACCTTTTGACTGGTGGCGGCCAATGGGATTGAAGTTGAAGAAGTGGGGCAGGGGAGATTCGGGAAAACAATGCAAGAAGGGGAAATAAAATATACGTGGCTTTAATGAAGGTTGAAACAGGTGAAAGCGTGGTTTATACTAAAAATTGGCATAGAAACAATACAAAAAATTGTTGCTGCCCAGGATCGAACTGGGGACCTTCAGTGTGTAAGACTGACGTGATAACCACTACACCACAGCAACTGTTGCGCATACGTCATCTATGAAATCTTACAAAAGATTCCAAACGCAGAATATATGAAAAAAAGGAGGTTTGTCAAGAACAAAAATAAGCCTGATAATAACTCTTGTTTCTTTGTTTGGTTTTACATAATTTACGTAGCAATAATATTAATTTCCACGAGGAACAAAGTCATGTGTCTTTGATGAGTTTTTTTTTTTGGGCGTCATTCCCAACGATTTAAATCTTAAAATAACATCTGATTTTGAAGTTTTTTATTACTACAAGTATAAGTTTTCATAAACTCTTCGATAAAAACTAATGAAATACGAGTAATTGAGCATAACTAGAAACTAACTCAGGAGAAAATATTATTCGAATATTTTTTAGAAAAGTTATTTAGTATGATATATGCAAAATAAAAAAAATTAATTAGGATACATGTTTGAAAAAAGAATTGAAATTTTTTTTCCCTAAATAACATCCAAATAGTATAGACCAAATAGGAAAAAAAAAAGAAAAAAAGCCCAAGGAGAATACCACAGTGCAATTACAACATACTATAAGGTGTCTGCTCTGGAGAGGGTACATGTTTTACAATCAGCGGCAGAAGCAGCAGGACACATGTTACAATCTTCCTCCTTCACTCTGCACAAAATTTCCAGAACTCTTCTTCTTCTGACGATGGCTCCAAAACCACAGCGCTTCCACCAGTGCAAGTTTTTATTCTTACTACTCTTCTACTATTATGATCCCTCTCTTTAACCCATATACCAATCCTTTATTTACAACATAAGAAAATGCAATTAAGCCCTTTGTTTTCTTTTTCATCATTAAACAGTCGCCGATAGTAGTACTTTGGGTGGCGGTGTCAAAAGGGCAAGAACCATCAGCGTCATGAGCTCCACGGCTGGGGCTGACTCTGAGTCTTCTTCTTCTTCTTCTTCTCAGATGAAAAACGCCTTCTCTAACTATGCCCAGTACCTTAATGACCTCGTAAGCTTCATGCTTCTACTGTTTTTCAATGTGACTGTATGGGAAGTATTGTTTTCCTTGCAAGTTTGGATTTTGGAGTTTTAAGAACAACGATTTACTAGATGGGTTTTCTGTTGTTGTGATTGAACTTTTGGTTGGTAATGTGGTTAAGAAGAATAAGAGGAGAGGAGGGGCGTTGAATGGCTGGAAAATGGCGAAACAGGATTAAAAATTTTAATCTTTACTGGTTTTTTGTTTCCCCTTTCTATTTAGTTTAGTTGAATTGAAAGCTTGGGTTGTGTTAGAAGGAGAATCTAGCAAAAGGGTTGTTATTATTTTGCTTAAAGTCTTTGATTCGCATTATGAACAAGAAGAAAAATTGGAAACCCAAGACAACACTGCATAATATGCATTGCTTGCTTAATTCGAGTTTTTTCCCTATTATGTATTTTTCCGTTTCTTTTTTAATTTTGATTTAGCAATAGTGGAAGCCAATGCTAGTAACTACTTTTAGTACCCGTTTTATGTTATTATCATCAACGAGTTTTAAACGAGTTGTTGGTTCTTAGGGTGGGAATTGAGGAAGACATGTCTTCATTAAGTTGAAGGTCTGTATTCATGTGACTTGTACCAGCAAGGTTGTTAGGACTAGTAAAGACTAACTCTCAGTACTGCAATGCACAATCTGGGGCCCGGGGATATAGAAAGGCTAATTTTTTATTCCGTGTGGCCCGAAAGATGTGAATGTGAGAATGTGCAAGTAGGCCATGAGGTTTAATGACTCTTCTCATAGATGAAAAATGTAGGTACTAATGTAGAATGTGCGTTGTTGTGTCTTGTTAGCATAACATTTGGAAAAAGAATGTTACAATTTTGTGATTTTGTTGATAGCTAATATTGTCATCTGTTACTACTGTTTTTTGTTTTCTAAATTTGTGTCTCTTTATGTGCGATGCTCTACACAACATTTGGTGCTTCCTAGTAGAGCAATAAAATATAGTTATGAGCAATTTCTTAGCTGAAGATTCTGTTCCTCATGCTTTAATTGCCTTTTGGCTTGATTTTTAATTTAAAACTGCTAAACAAGCATGAGTTTCTGGTGCCCAAATGTCTATATGGTATCACTTGCATTGTAAAGACCTTGTACATTGCTAGAGATTAGCTGTTTTGTATGATCTATTTTCCTTTCTGACAAACGAAAATAATTCCCATCTCTCAATGTTTAATCTGCCAATTTATTTGCTGTAGAATGAGAAAAGAGAAAGGGTTGTGAAAGCAAGTCGGGATATCACTATGAATAGCAAGAAGGTTATATTTCAGGTCCACAGGTGAGGAAGATTAGTGAACCAAACTCGGTATAATTTGCCTTTAGGCATTCGTTGTCTCTGGTGGGAGTGGAATCCATTTACCTGCTGTCTGTCCTTGTTCAAAATCATTATCTTCCTTGGAAATATATTTCTGGAGACAACGGATTGGACAATTTTGACTGTGTTCTTTACTTTGTTGGTATTTTCAAATGCAATTTTTAGTTTGGTTTTGAACTAATATGGCCTGATTGCTTTACTTATAGTTTGCTAGTTGTGCACTCTGAAGCTGCCAATGTTTTTGATGCTTTCCTGCTTTATATATTCATAAACAGGATTAGCAAGCATAACAAAAAGGAAGTTCTAGAAAAAGCAGAAAAAGATCTTGCAGCAGTGAAGGATCAGCATGTATCGCGACTCGTACAGGAACTACAGGGGACTGATTTCTGGAAGCTACGACGAGCATACTCTCCTGGGGTTGTCCTTTTTAAATCTTTCTATTTGCCTAGACTCTAGAAAAAAAAAATACTTCTGATGTCAGTTCCTTCTTCACAATATTATAGGTCCAGGAGTATATTGAAGCTGCAACACTATGTAACTTTTGCAAGACTGGGACTCTTTTAATACTTGATGAGATCAATGCTAGCTTGCTACCACTGAGTGATCCATCGCATGAACCTCTGCAGATTAACATTCTAGACTATCTCTTGGGGGTATTGCCTTGAACTTGTTATGTATGTTTAATAACCCTTTTCATTTAGAAGGGTGAAAATTCTGCCATTTCTGCAAATTTGTCAATTGCAGCACATCTTGTGAAAAGGAATAAATCCCTTCTGAATGGGTTAAATTTTATTTCACGGAGGTGAGAAAGCTGTACCTTGTTTCTGCTTGATATCTAACCTAGTGTTTTTTATACTGGATCATACTCAGATGTATAGGTTAAATTATAGCTACATCTTTTCATACATATTAATTCATTATTCTAAAACAATTTTCTCTCTCCTAGCTTGCAGACTTGACGGGAGAGTTAATGAGGTTGGCAATTGGTAGAATATCAGACGGTGAACTTGAATATGCTGAGAAGATATGCAAATTTGTGCGGGAAATCTATAGGAAACTGACTATTCTTGCTCCTGAAATGGATGAAAGTTCAGACATGAAAATGAAGATGGACACAATGCTCCAAAGTGTTATGAAAATAGAAAATGGTTACGTATTGCTTCTTGTTATTATTTATCTAAACATTTACATTTGTTGTTTCAATTCTGGCAATAGATCTACTAGCGGAGTGCTAATTGCTGAGAAAAGTAGAGCTTGGTTACAGTTGACGTAACCATTATGATTATACCCTCAGGGACTCCTGAATAAACTATTTCTACCAGACTTTTTTTTGTGCCCAATAGGTCCTAGAGAATTTCTGTCTTAAAATGGTTCTGCTGAGTCGAAAAAATGATTTTCGAGGTTTCAGTTGAGTAGGTGGAATATTTACTCTGTACAGGATAACCTGTGGCCTCATCATAGGGCAGCCGACATCTTACTTTATAGTTAGCAGGTTTAGTCTCTCGGTTCTGAATAGTTTTTATACTGGACCATGTGCTAGCCATATCTGGTTATTGCATGTAAGAAAAATGAAAGGAAACAGTCCATCATGGTGCTGGTGTGCGGCATAAGTTTTTTTCTTGGTGTTATCTCAAAATTGTAAGCTCCTCTTTCTCTGGTTCACATGGTTGTCAAACTAAATTAGCTGAATAGTGAAGTGAGATCTTAGTCTCAAGTGCTTTTGCTAAGGTTGAAGTATGCCAATATTTTGTTTTTGTCTCTCTGCATGTGAAGTAACTTGATTTTTTCTGGATGAGTTCGACTTGGAGAAGGAATCACTTTTTTTTTTTTTTTTTTTTTCTAAATTTGGTGGTAATTTGTATTCCTTTTGGACGAATCTCTGACTTGTTTAATATATCTGCAGCATGCTTCAGCGTTCATGTTAGAGGATCGGAGTATATCCCGCTTGTTGGATCTGCTGATTCCAGTTATTCTCTGATTGGCTTGCCTGATTTTGAACAATGAAGCGATGATGCATCTCCCAGAGCTTTGCCAAGTTTGTCCTGCTCTATCTGCAGTTACTTTTGGACGCATATTCCAGATACTAGGGATTGGTTATAATTAATTATTCGATCAAGAATCAGTCTCTTTTCTCCTAGCTGATTGTGGACTGTTGCTTTGGGAATTTAAGTATACCCTTATTAGAGTTGCTTTTCAATGCCAATCAGATGATGGAGAATCAAAAACTTTTCAACAAGAAGTCGAGTCAGCTGTCTGTATCCCTCTTTTCAATGCTCCAACCAGGTGCTGCATTCATTGCCACACAGAAGAAGTGTAAGAAGAGAAAAACGCGAATGAATTTTCCTTAGCTTGTCGAGGAACTGTATCATCCAAATTAGATCACCAATGGATTATTGCTTTGTGTTCGAGCTGCTGCTTATTTGGCCTCCGCGCGCGGTAGAGAGGAATGGGTTCAATTAATTAATTACATGTCAATATAAAAACGCAAGATGCCAATGACAACTTAACCTTTTTTTGAGGAAAAGAAAATGAAAAAGAAGGAAAAGATTTTTCAATTTTGTTTAAGTTTTGAGTTTTATTTCTGTCAATCGTACTTTCATTATTATTATTATTATTATTTTGTCGACAAATTTTGTTAAGATCAAAACTAGAAGCTATTTCTTGAACCAAGAAAAATTATGAGCTGTTTTGCATTAAGTAGTTTGTTTAATCATTCATGAGACTTTACCCCCACTAAAATAACAATTTGCTATATATATATAATAACATGATTTTGAAGCCAAAAGGTTGAATTTGGTCTATAATTTTTTGTATATAAATTTGGTTTTGGCAGATAAACAAAAAAAAAAAAAAAAGAAAGAAAGAAAACTGTGGAATTAAAATTGTGATCGTAGTGAATATGAGAAAGCTTGGATATATGGAGCTGTTGGCCAAGATTCCAAGACCAGCCTGTCCCTGTTTGCAGGTATATTGTCCCTTTCTGTGTTCAGACTTGTTAATTGTAATAACTGGTAATGGTAGTCCTTTATATGTACATCATCCATCATCACACACCATCTTGATCAATAAACCCTCTACGATTTCGATCTTCTCTCACAACTTCACAAATCAAAATCATAAACCATGCCTCTACATACCGAGACTAGTAGTACTCCTCTTCCTCCAAAGTACTTACAAGATGATAAACTGACTCAAGAATGCGAGGAGCTGCTGCCTTCTCTACCCAAAGAAAAAGGATGGGTTTCATCTTATCTTTACCAATACCGAGGTTTTTGGCACTCCGCCCGGCAGCTTCAAGGTGTCGTTGCATGTCAAAAACACTTTGAAGCTCAAGATTCTGACATTTTCCTCGTCACTACTCCCAAATCCGGGACTACATGGCTGAAAGCCCTTCTATTCGCTTTAGTTAACCGCATGCAGTATTCTTTTATGGAACAGCATCCACTGCTCATGCATAGCCCTCATGAGCTTGTTCCTTATCTGGATTCAAAGATCTATGTCGAGAACCAAACTCCTGACCTCTCTTCCTTCACCAGTCCTAGACTTTTCGCCACTCATTTGCCATTAGTTTCATTGCCACAATCCGTGCATGAATGTCCCTGCAAGATTGTTTATCTCTGCCGAGATCCTAAGGATACCTTTGTATCCCTGTGGCATTTCGCGAACAAGCTGAGGCTTGAGAACATGGAAAGTAATTCGCTTGAAGATGTTTTCGACAGGTTCTGTAAGGGAGTAAGCGTATATGCACCCTTTTGGGACCATGTTTTAGGTTACTGGAAAGAAAGCTTGGAAAACCCGGATAAGGTTCTTTTCTTGAAGTATGAGGATTTGAAAGAAAAGCCCACTTCCCAGTTGAAGAAAATATCTGACTTCTTGGGGTATCCGTTTTCTTCTGAGGAGGAAGCATCAGGACTCCTGGAGGGAATCATTGACCTTTGTAGCTTTGATAAGTTGAGCAACTTGGAGGTGAACAAGAGTGGGAAGTTGTCTTCTGGTGAAGAAAATAAGGCCTTCTTCAGGCGAGGTGAGGTTGGGGACTGGGTGAAATTTCTGAATGCTAAGATGGTAGCTCGGCTAAATTCCATTACTCAACAAAAGTTTGATGCATCTGGGCTAAAACTATAGGCTTATAGTTCAATGCATTTGGATCAAAAGTCTGTTGCTGCATTAAATGTTTCAGAGACGTCTTCGATGTTCGAGTCTTTATTCGTAAAGGTTGATTACTTATCGGTGATTACCTTGCAGGACCCTGCTAAGTTGTTTTCTGATTTGCAGTAGTATTAATTAGTACCTGAAGTTTTTCTTCAGTTGGAAAAGTGTGAACGTCTGAAAATATGATTTTTAGGCTCCATTCAGCTCAGCTGCCTATGAATGTAATGCCTCGTTATGAAATAAAATTTGCTTTTCTTTGATTGTGGACACCATCTGAACAAATCCAGTTAAAACTTCATGATCTCCAATTGGTGTCTACAATTTTGCATTTTGATGGACTAAATAACCTCCTAGAAATTAATCATTGTTACGGGATCATTGTAACAATATGCCTTTTTCTTATGCTTCTTTGGATCTATAGCTAAAATGATATCATTATTGGTTGACAATGTAAAACTTTTTAACTTTCAAGCGTTAGTTTTACAAGTAAACTATCCTTTAACAACTTCAAGTTCAAGTTCGATTCAAGTATTGAGTTTTAAACTTGGAATGTGGGACTCATACCATACTCACTCATAAAGATATTAGAGCTTTAGGCCTAATTTAAACATCGTCTAGCTTCGCCTGAACTCAGTAAATATACAAAGCTCAACTCTACACATTTCGGATCAAGCTCGGGCTTATCTGGCCCGATTGGCAGTGATTCGTTTTCTAGTACCCAACACTTTTATAGTTTTATCTCACCCCTGCCGGCCCTTTTGTCTGTCTGATACACATGCAGGATACGGAGCCACTGAAGAAGACGCCAATTAATTAATTTTCAGCTTTGATTTCTGTCTTCTTCTCAGTTTTCATAAGCAACCAATTAAAGTGATCAATTAATCGTCAAACACCACTTTATATATATGTATATAGTACAGATCATGGGGTCACAAAATTGCACTTGAAAAGGAAACATGCATTATCTTGCAAATCAATCTAAGCAAGGCATCCAATTTGTTGTATTTTATAAGAAAAAATTGCAATTTGGTCTGCAAGAGACGAGCCGGGATAAATGACAATCTGAGAAAATGGTGGATTAAAGATCATTAATCCATAAATGGTGGTTAATTCCAAGATAAGAGCTTATGCTAAACATTTCTTTCTGGTACTATCTTCTTGGATCAATGTCAATATCTCAATCTTCTGCAGCGCCAAAGTACTTGCAAGAGGATGAAATAGTCCCAGAATGCAAGGACCTGCTTTCAACTCTACCAAAAGAAAAGGGATGGGCTGAACCTCATCTCTACAAGTATCAAGGTTTTTGGTATCCGGCCTGGCAATTCCAAGGAGTTCTTGAATGTCAACAACACTTCCAAGCTCAAGACACCGATATTCTCCTCGTCTCAGCCCCCAAATGTGGCACAACTTGGTTGAAAGCCTTAGCTTTCACCATAATCAATCGCAATTCACACTCCATTGATGATCCTGGAAAGCACCCTTTATTCTATAACAATCCTCACGACCTTGTACATCAGATAGAACTTGAATCCCACATTGATAACCCGATCTTCAACCCCTCTTCACCTAGACTCTTTGCAACACATTTGCCTTATATTTCGCTGCCAAAATGCGCCAAGAATTCAGAATGTAAGCTTGTATATATATGCCGAAACCCGAAGGACACTTTCATATCTCTTTGGCACTTCATGAATGAGTTAAGACTCAATCATTTGGCGTCTATTTCTCTTGAAGTAGCCTTTGACAAGTTCTGCAGAGGAGTCAGCATTTTTGGACCCTTTTGGGATCATGTGTCAGACTATTGGGAAGAAAGCAGAAAAAGGCCTAATAAAGTTCTCTTCTTGAAGTATGAAGACATGAAAGAAGATCCCAATCTCCATGTCAAACGCTTGGCTGAGTTTTTTGGGGTCCCTTTTTCTATAGAGGAAGCGACATCAGGGGTGGTGGATGGAATCATAAAGTTGTGTAGCTTTGAAAATTTGAGCAAATTGAAGGTGAACAAGGATGGAAAGTTGCCAAGTGGTGTAGAAAACAAAACATTCTTTCGGCGAGGCGGAGTTGGAGACTGGAAAAACTATTTGTGGCCTGTAATGGTGGAAAGATTGGACTATCTTACTGAAGAGAAGTTCCAAGGTTCTGGATTGCATCTCTAAGTTCTCCTTCTCCAGGCTCAGTCCATCTTGATGTTAATCATATTTTTCTCTATTCGCCAGTACTTTAGGCTGTTGGATGTTGATGAATTTTCAACGATTAATGTTAGTAACATAGAGTTAACTAGTACGATTTGCACCTCCTGTAAGTAACGTGTCCTTGTTTGTTGTCGAATACTATACATACATACATATACTATTTTTTGGAGAAAGCCCGACAATTCTTGATTTTACTGATGCCAAGCCCCGCTCTAAACAATGACTATACCAGTGGAAAAAAAAAACACATCTTATGGGTGTATAAATTAAGAAAAAATTAAATCATTTTTTATTACTCCTACAACAAATAAAAGTTATTAGAAGTCTTTTTTTTTTTTTCCTTTACTATTGCCAAAAAGAAGAAGAAGAAGTTATGGTTTTTTTTTTCTTGGCAAACAAATTTTAAAAAAATAGAAGTAACTAAACTTAAGTAGATATCTTTAGTTTCGAAAACTTGCAATTAGGGGTTCCAATGCAGAACTCCCAAAAAAAAAAAAAAAGGCCCGGGCCTGTTACTTTAACTTATCATCTGAGAGAGTCCGCACAACAAATCAATTTACTGTGCAGGGCTCAATTAGGGATGTGTAGCAGTGGAACCTGTATGCTTAATGGGGCTGCATCTTTTTGCAGTTATGGGCTTGATTGAGCTGAATTAGCAACAGTCTGATATTACAGGGACATCTTCTTCAACCTCATAAAGATACCGAGTCCCATTGTTGTCTCTGTCAAATTGTAGTGATTTAAGTACAATACGTAGCATTCTTTCTAATTTGGGCAGCCATGTTCTGCAACTTCAGTGCCTGAATCCAGAAATTTATTTGTAAATTCTTGAATAGAAACAATAACCAACTGTTCTCAGCATATTAATTTAGTCCTCCATCAAGAAACATGGTCCACTAGGACCCCAATCCATCCCTGACAGAAAAAAAAAAGAAAAAAAGAAGAGATTTTTAAATGAAATCTCTACGCAATCTATGCATTCTGAAACCTGATGTAGATCTTTAAGCTGCCATTTCAATTTTCATTTTCCTCACAAAGTTATTGAACTCAGCCCATCTTCATCTTCCTTGCCGGCAATTCAAGATCAGTTAGTTCTCTTTGTCAAATTGACTCTGTTGCATGCACATCCATATTCCCGGCCATTAATTCACTCCTATTTTCGTCTAGTAAATGTTGTCAAATTGCAATTATATATATGGAAAATGATAAACAACTTGAGATTCCATCTCATGACTTAACTGGCAATTACCTAGTACGTACATGCAGTGGTCCAAATGATCTCTTAAATTAATGTGGTTGGGAATCTTTGAAAAGTTAACGTGCGATAATTAGTCTCTTAACAAAAAAAATGAAGAAAATTCTGCCACGCTTTCCGGCTCAGTTATGCATCAACAGCACACTAGGGACTGATCGAACAAAAAACATCAAACCACATCCTTAATCATAACTATCATTGCTTTAACTGGAAGCTGTCCAACTAATGTGAGCTGGTAATTGTGTTACCTTATCCTTTTCACTTTTTCTAGAATAGTAGAATAATCACAAAAAAAAAACAAGAAGAAGAAGAGGAAGAAGAAGAAATGCGTGCGTATATCACATGATGTAATTCATGAAGCTAACTTTGAAACATGGACAAATCTTTTAGTTATAGAGATCTGCTGTATCACAAAGCTTTTAGTTATGTACTAAATTTGCCTTTAATGGAAGGTAGATGATCATGTAATCATACCGACCTCCCAGTCCCAACTAACAAATCTCAATTAGTAGCCCAACATGGAAAAGATTGCGTCCAAACCTAACCTAGCACCACACTTGTTAGCTATCGTGCAGCACAAATATGGCTTATGCACCAAGCAATGCCATTATTATAAAGAGCCCTTTTCCTGTGGATCGAGTAGCAGCACTGAAAGGGGTTTGGGGCAAATTTGACGGTATTAGATAGCTAGTTAGTTAGCTGGACAATGAAATTGGATATTGAAGTTTGGGTGTAGGTTATATAGTTCATCAATACAACTGTTACGAGCGCTTCAAATAGTTCTCTTTTTCAATAATTGAAATGACTGGAAATAACACAACAAAGTTAGATTAACACTCAGAGATAATCGAAATCCTGGTGCAAATCGCAATCGAAATCCTGGTTGCTACCTACTTTCTCATCTTTGTATTGTGTCTGTCAATTTCTTCATGTGGCACCATGGAATGACGTGCTTGTTACATTACCGCTTTGTGTTTGGCATGACGTTACAGTTTGAATAGCTAGCTACTTAAAGTGGAGTATTAAATTAATTTTAGGTCGTTGATCATCTAGATTTTTGTTTCCTTTGGGTATATTATTAACTACAAATTTAGAGTGAGAGTATGCCACCGACACATCGGGCAACCTCCTACAATGATTTTTATACGTAACTTACTAACAACAACGTTTTTAGCAGGAAGTCGAACTTGAAATTGAGTATTCAAGAAGTGTTTTCTTTGACGGCAACTACATGCATAAATGGGAGGGAATTATTTGGGGAAAAAAAATTAAAAATCTCAAAATGCAGTCATCTTCGACTGTCAAACTTAATAATCTGCAGTGGCGTATACGTTACTGTAATTAACCATTGCTAGCTTTTCCTTTTTGGTGTTGATGGCAGGCACCATTAGCTTAAACCGTAAGATCTCTATCTGTTCGATCATGGATTCTTTTTCTATTTTCTTTTGATCCTTTTTGGAGGAAGAGAAAACGAGAAGGTGGAAGATGATGCATGAAAAGGATAGATAGGTTTGAATAAGAGATGTAGAAAATTGTAAAGTGACCAATCACCGAGGATCGAGGATGGAATTAATCATAAGCCTGAAAATGAAAAGAAGTCGGTCCACCTCTGGACAGTAAAGAATACGTCTCTCATTGACCTTGGACTTGGTGGAAGTGGTCAAAAGTCTTCAGTAGAAGTCTATTTGTTGCGTATTAGGGTTTCCTCCAGTCGAAGTTTTTGTAGAATAAAAAAGATAATTGGCACATATACTTTTCGCAGGAGTGGAAAAATGAATCGGAAAACTCAGCCCCATTTCAAAAGATCTCACATATCAAACAAA